GCTTATATTAAATCTTCGTATTTATACCATATACTTTTAAATTATTAGATTTCCAGAACACTAAGAGTCCGTTAATAAATTATAAATATTTGATTTATTAAATTTTGGAAAGAACCTTTGACTCATTTGTTACCAAGTTTTAATATTGAAATATGTGAAATTATGAACGTCATATAATATCCATTATATTTAATATTTAAAAAAATTTTTTTATTTAATTTTGATTTTTAATTTTAAACGTATCAAATATTTAATACTTATAATATTATAAAAAGAGAGAAAGAAAGAAAAAAAGAAAAGAGAGAATAGTGCAAAATTTTATTTTAAATGTGTTTCTTTTTGTTACATTAATTTTATAATTATAATTTTAATAATTTTAATAATTTTATAATTGTAATTTTATAATTTTATAATTTTATAATTTTATAATTGTGTTTAATTATTTCATTTTCAAAATACCTCTAGTATACAATATTAGATATTTCATTTTCAAGATACTTTATACACAGTAGTTTTTTTACAAAACGTTACAGCAGGATTCCCAGAATCCGCCAAAAATGTAATTTCCGGGGATTTTTTCTCGCCAATCTTTTTATTCCGAATACAATTGTGCACTGCCGAAATTCGCGAAAACTAACTTTTATGGAGACAATTTGCGTAAGTCTATAAAAGCATTTTCAATATCAGATGACAGTTGCAGAAATATCGGAATGCATGAGAGAGAGAGAGAGAGAGAGAGAGAGAGAACAATCTTTCTATCTTATTATATCCTACCGTAGTGGTTTCAAAGATAAATATTGCATAAACGAAAGATATGTCACGCAAATAATTGTTGTGCACTGTAGCATATCCGACTATAAAAAAATCTTTATTTGTGGCTCGTTTATCTTCGTTTATCTAAACAACGGAGAAGTGACAATTGTTCGAGAAAATTGAGACAAATCATTATAAAAAATTTCTTTCTCCTTTAGTATTTATATATTACTCTTTCTTTATTCTTATAAATTTTGATTTTGGAAAAACAAAATTGATAATTGAAATAATGCAATTTAAATTACAAAGATTCTTTTTACATAGATTTGTCTAAGATTATAGCGCTTTTGATACAAATCCATTAAATTATATAAATAGACGAGGAAGAACAAATTATCCACGAGAAAGAATAAGAATCGGTAGGAATGCGGCGATGCATCTCCTTCACCCGCTCGCCGCTTCATTTGATACAAATGGAAGAATTCCTCCCCCGGCGAGAAGACGCGACTGACGCAGAATGAAACTTTCACGAGGCTCTATAAAAGCACGAGGAATTTTCGAGATGTTGGAATGCTCGTGGATCTGGCAGCGTTGATGGATATACCTCTTAAGCCCGATAAAATCAGATGCAATGACGTCCACGCTTATTTCTCTTTTCTTTCTAGCCGCCGTCGTTTTTCCATCTTTCGTTAACTTTCAACAGCCTTTCCTCGATACTGCAGGCCCGCAATCCTGGAGAAAATTGACCGAGCGCCTTTGGCGCTCGTAAAGCTCGGGCTATCCCCGGGAAAATGAGAACTCGCGTGATCGCGCTTTGATCACGCAAGAAACCGCGACGCTGATCGAACGTGGCGCGAAAGCATCCATCAGCGAGTCGCGAGGTACGGCGGAGTATCGATTCGATGCCGTACACAAAGTTGCTTTCACGATGATGGCCGCCATTACGTTCCTTGCCTTTCGACGAGACGAACGGCGAGTTAAATCTCTCGAGAAAACAATATTCTTTTTATTATTGGTGTACACTGATTGTTCACGTTGTTAGATTATATTGATAGATTCTTTAAGTATGTCGGGAGCTATCAACGTTCGATAATCTGTCACTGTCACGCGCTTCTTGAAGCAATCACCAAGTCTCTACATCAACCGTTCATCCTCAAGTGACCATTAATTTCTACTTTATTTCCTTTTTTATAGAGAATGAGAGCTGAAGAGAAAAATATTTCGTGACGTACAATCGTGCTTTGAAAAGGCCAGAGAACTAATGAGCTCCAAGTTCGAAGGCCGCTTAAGCGATTTCCGATACTTGCGTCGGATATTGCAATTTACAAGTTATAATATACGAAATACATAGAGTCGAGTTAAATTCCAACTTGACGCGTGCGAAATTTTGCTAACGTGAGATGCGCATTCCGGGCAATCCTTATATAAAATTTAATCTCGCGCGCGCGAGAGGAGCCGCTCTCGCAGTTTTCGCACTCAACCGACAGTGGCATGAAGATCTCATTTTTACAAAGCTGGTGGTCACGTAAATTACTATGTAATTACACACTCTGTGCGGATTCCCCGAGTCAGAAAATATAACTACGGTCGAATGATTCGCGTGGAAATTTCTGTGACACGCGTGCATAATTACCGGATTTATTTGACGTGCGGATAAATCGGCCGAGAACGACTTGGATTTATCGAGTTCCGGCATTAGGATGAGATAACGTGGCTTTCCATACCTCAGATCGTAAAAGCGAGACGCGGGAATATCCCTTTCCGAGAATCACATTTGCGTATCGCTAAAATTGCGCTTCCGGAAGGAGGTCGAGGAGTTACGAGAAGTCACGCAAATCGACCGTGGAGATTTAAGTAATTTGGATTTTACATCGGAATAAATTCCTGGCGAGATTTCCCGCCGAACGAGCGACCTCTTATCATCGCTCTAAAGCAAATTGTCTGCTTTCGCTATTACGCTGATTGCTATGATTTTAATCAAGCCATATAATTTGGTTATTTCTATTAAAAATATACAATGAGCGTGCAATACAAAATTACATAATATATCCTGTACTATGCATATTAAAATTAACGGAAGAAATATCTAGGGATGAATTCATTTTTTAAATTAAAAACGAATTTTCAAAAATTTTTATTTTATACTTAACTGATTAATCTCCACGTATAACATACACTATTAAATTACTCGACAAGACACATGAAGTTTAATTGCGTAGAAATTTTTTAAAGATCCACATATTGTCGGAATTTTCGTTAGTGAATAATGATATTAAATGTTCGTCCACGTATTTATTCTGGTCATTCCCGAGAATGTTAGTTGCGGTCGAGAATTTCAAGAAATGACTCTGCCTCTTATATACCCTCGTGAGACTAAAATCGTAATATTATTCACCACGGTCTGAAATGGACGCGCACGATGTTATGTCGGGTATATTACTGATGGATCTCTATATTCGTAAATTTCATCGTCCTCGAAAATTTTCAGTTGTCCTGCGCGATGTTTTATCATCCAACGCTTGTCGGTCTATGACTCTCATATATGCCATGATAAACTCTCGCAATATCACATTTTATATCGAATTTCCACATCTGGATGACGGAATATTGAGAAGAAAAGATTATTATACGCTTCGCGTAAGCCAGCTTTTTAAAAAGAGAAAAAAAAAAGATACGTCAAAAAATTTTAATAAAAATATTTGCTCTTTTTTACACCTGTCAAACATAATATTTTATCAAAATTTTAATATTTTATATAAAACTTGTTTAATTGAATTAAAATACTTATTTACTTATGCTCTTGAATATAATTTTCCATCGAAAAAGCATGTCTAAATATCGTTTAATAAGACTTGCAATATCTCGCTAAATATCAACGTTAGGTCGGCGAGTTGCACAAATATGAACGAGGAGCGCTTTAATGACTTTCCTCATTAATTTACACGTATGTTGTCAGCTATAAGTGCTTCGTTGCTAGGCATATGCAGAAATTACATACACGAATAGAGTCAATGAACAAGAAGATATTTCCTGATTCTCCATTTATCGCGCATATATATCACCCTAATTAAAAATGTACATGTATTAATTCAAAGCTATGCTACATATTTGCTAATTTCATATGCTCTGTTATAATCCCTTAAGCCATCAAGTGTTATATTCCGTCTGCCTGTAGAAACTATTGAATATCACAAATATCTCTCTCTTTGTAGATTCATTAATACTACAAATTAATTGCTATCAATATCGCTTCTAATTAAACGGTATTTTTCAATGAAATATTATTTTTGATAAAAAGAAGCAAATATATTTTTATTAAAATTTTTGCTTTCATAGTAGAATAAGTACACAATTGCAACATTGACTAAAACTCCGTCAAAGTTAAACCAAGTAATTATTCCGATTACTTAAGTTTCGTGCTATTTTTCTTTCTGATAATTTCTATGGTAATTTCCGGGGAAATATTTGAACCTAAATCGCAAATTAGTCATATTAGAAGGACCTTAGACTTTACAAGCTATTAATTTTATAATAGCCATAACGAGCGCTTTAATACTTACGCAAGTTTAATCATCGTTTTAACGGGTTTGTAATATTAGCAAAGTTTGAAAACATTTTCTATAGATACTTCCTTGGGGATAGATAACTGATATTCGGTGACTCTCGATAAGTGAAAGGAAGACAATTTTACTGATTACCCTTTTAACAAAAAAATAAGTTAAGACGATAATTTGGCAAAAATTGAATAATTGAGGAAAGATAAGTTATGTCAAAAACATCGCAAAAATAATTGAAAAGAGAGCGAATTTTCGACAAAAAATAAATTCAGAAAAACCTTTTCAATTGTGATTCATATTCAGTTATTTATGAAAAATTATTTTTTTTCTTAGATTATATTATCATTTACGACCAACTCTTACGAAATATTTTATCGGCACTATTAATATTAATATTAATGAAAACCCTTTGAAATATCATGAGAATATATCATGAATGACTCGTTTCAAATTATAATATGAAAACATTTTGATTGATGATAGATAGCTATCAATTATTCTATCAACGATCGCTATAATCATTTGGGGTATACATATATTCCATTGTCGATTATTACAATATTGGATTCATATAATATGTCATTAGTGATTTAAATACATTGATCAAATATCGGATTCTCTCCCTCAGCAATCGAGCAACTTTGCTCGAGGAATTTTTGAGAATTTTTTAAATGAAACTTTTTCACTTACCACATCGATGAGTTGCGAGAGCTTCAGCTTGATACACACGCGCAGCACATCCGAAGTGTTCACTACGGGACGTACGAGCTTGTTATAATTGGATAGCAGATCGTCGTAGAGGCGTTTTGCGTCCGGATTCCCGGCGACGGCTCCGTGAACGACCAGCGCCGAAAGGAACCATACACGCAGGGTTTCCCCGATTATGGGGGGCATCATGATCCCTCGAATCCTCCACTATGAAAGACGCACCTGGCCCCTTTGTGCCCTTTCTCGGCCACACGAACCACGTATCTAAGTAATGAGAAGATGGAAATTAGTCGCTATTTTTTCTTTCTGCTAACTCGCATTTAAAAAGAACATCGCTTGGAAAATGCTCTCTTATTTACTTTATATTATTTAGTGCCCGAGTTTCTCGTGTTAAGATAAAATAGAATCTAATTAATTTATACATAATTTTATTATCAACTTTTAATCTGGAAGATTAAGAAATGTTTGTAATAAAATTCCTGGTCTCATATGTTTTATTAATTTGCTAATTGATTTCTGTATTTAATTTTAATTAAAAGGAAAAGAAGATAATTGTTTAAGAAAGTTTTCACTCGAAATTTAATGAAAAAGTATGTATTTATGAGAAATAATAATCTTTTTTCAAATTTTTGCTAAAACAGAAATCTACTACACAATTCCTCCGAAATAACCAGAAGAGAATGCATAAATTCTGGTATGCCATGTGTACGCGCGAACGAAACTCTATGTTGGGCTGCTGTATTACACCTTGCTAGACTACACTTCGTTACGGTACGTGCAATTCCCACTATATAGCACACCATGGACCGGGAACGATACAACTTGGTGCGCAGGCGGATTTATGGATACAAGTAACGAGTTCACGATCCTCTCTTCTCTGCTTCTCTTCGTCGTGCAAAAAAATTTCGCTGTGTTGAAAATAAAAACAACATCGCTCGATATAAAAGATACGTTTTCTGCTATTTCTAAAAATTTTGAGTTTCCTTGAATTTTTTCATCTTCTTATTTTTTTTTCGACAAAGCTGCGATATATTTCTCCGAGGTTACGAGAGTTTTCTTTCATTTTTTTTCATAACGTATATTATAATTATGTGATATGCAAACGGAAATGCAATCGTAATCGCAATCCTGAACGTAAACTACGGTGATACGAATAGTAAATCGGAAACAAATGAGGGCAAAACAATCTCGCGAGGCGTAACGATGTTAAAGTGTTCACGTGGAATCGGGCCGATTAACGGCAAGCCGACACTTGGTATGGTGTGGGCGTTGATTTTCGATGCGCATTAAGCCGCTAATTCGCGGCCGCAAATCGTACTTCATCATGGAACGGATTGATCGCGTGTTTCGCAAATCGCGAGGTGTTTGTGCAATTCCAGCTAAAATTTAACGGAGTCAAATCAATAGAATGGGTCCGATCGCGTCATTACGTGATCTATATCGCGACAATTACTACTCCGAATGTTGTAATTAAGCGAGATAACCGATCAGTTTTAAATTCGAACAAAATGGCTTTATTTTCTTTTTTCATATAAATGGGGATGTTACAGAGAGGATGGCAGAGAGGATTGCGACAATTACAGCAAACCCAGCCACTTTGCGATTTTTAGCGTTTTATATTATGCAGCAAATATACGGCATTGCTAAAGAGCATGATTGCATTTTCCAATTTAATAATTCACAATATACTAAATTGTGTAACTGTCTATGTTTGAAAATTGTGAAAATTTCAAAAGAATTTTTTATCTTGATACTTCATGTGTCTTCAATCGTAATATCTTAGATTAAAGAAAATTATTCTCGCTTTATTTTCTTAAATATATGACAATTATAAGAATTACATAAAAAATATATTGCATAAAAAATATATAATTATAATAATTACAATAATTTAAATAATATTTAAATATATGATAAAATAATATCAAAGTATAAAGTAAGGAAAGAATGCGATATATTAAGAATCTCAAATTTTAAAATGTAAAATTTAATTTTTGTTTAATTTATTGATATTTTCATTATCTTTATAATTAAAATATAAATAAGAGAATCAGATTTTATCTCAACTGATTTGATTTTTGTTGACTTTTAAAAATGCATTTAAAAATTCTATTTTAAACGCATATACAATGTATACTCCTCCGAGCTCGCCTCTCCCTCTTTCTCGCGATCCGATATAAAAATCTCTTTCATAACCAGATATAAATCTTAAACGACGTCAATCTGATTCGATCGTCGTGGGCGTCCAGTGCGGGATTAGATTAGATTAGGTGCAGATAAAACGTTGCATTGTTTCGACGATTAGGATTATCCGCGAGGATTTGGCTTTGTGAACTCAAATCCTGATAGCAGCGTATATCGTCGATATTAGTGCAAATGGGAAATTGATACTCGACTATTGATGATTCGGTCAAGCAGCCTTGAGAGTGTCTGAGACTTCCGCATTGCGGAAAATGTAACTACAATATAAGCGCGATACAAGTGTAAACTATTTTTCTTCAAGTAATAAATATCGCAAGGTATTTTTGGTACCATTTTTAGATCGATCACTATTGACATTTCTTCAATAACATGCTTATTTAACGTGATAGCTTCATAAGCTTACATATTTTTTCAATTCAAGATTTTAATTCTTTAATTCTGGTCCATTTTGATTAGCTTCTTTTATGCATTTTTTACAAGTTAAATAAGTTCTTTTCTTAAATATATTTAAGAAAAGATTTGCAACGATTATAATATGATCAATATATTAGTGCGCAATATAAATAAATAATTTAATGTGTTCAACGTGATAATTTGTGTTTTTGTATTACCGCAAAATTTAATCCGAATATTATTCCGAATATAATGCACAATAATACAGTTGTTACAGATGACGATTCGGATGGAAACATATTCGTCATTATTAATTTATTACAATACGGAAACCAGTGAAAAAGGGAGAGTGAAAGCAAGGGGGAGAAAGAGAAATTAAATTTTTTTACTTTTTTATATTTCAATGATATTTCAAAATTTTAATATATATTCTTTAATATATATTCTGAGATAAAAAAAGCACACAAAAATTTAAATGTATTTATCTGATCTTACTATGCAATAAAGCTGTTAATAAAATAATACTTTAAAAAACTTTTATATTTTCTGCGAAACTTTTTCTATTTAAAAAAGAAGCATCTTTTAGAGTCGAGTTTTCTCTATAATTAATATTGCAGTATATGAAATATATGCAGGGTGTTTCCAGTATCTCGCAACAAAGTGAAACTATAAGATAGATCTCGTTAAACTGAACTAAAAAATTTTGTACCATTTTGTAAGGAACCACGCAAAATTTCGAGATATTAATTAAAAAAGATCGGCCAATGCGCGTGATTACAATATTTTTAATATTATATTGTACAACTAATATTATGTTGATTAAATACAATTAATATATAATTAAATAATTAAACAATTATTAACATTTATATGACTTTAGTGAATAATTAAATATATACATTTATAAATATTATCACAATCATTTATGCTGTATTTTTAATTTCTAAACAGTAATGTCTTAAAAATCTAGTTATTCAATTATATGAACAAATCCCGAAAGTATTTTATCTGCTTTTCGATCTCCGACCTACGTGTTTCTATTTTGGATTCAACAGGAAATATTGAATTATTCAGCTCCTTTTTTGCGAATTCTTCTATCTAAAATGGATTATTTTAATAATTATTATCAATAAATGATTTTGTATTTAATAGATATACTGTTACACATACAGAGTATCATTATGAACAGATGTATAGAAAAATATTATATAAAATATACAATAATTGAAAAGTAAATTTTAAAATAAGAACTTTAAAAATATAGAAATATAGAATTTAATTTATTTAAAATTTACCTCGTTTAATTATCTCTTAGAATACGCATTGTTAATTATAACAGTTAATGTCACAATATCATTAACTTCCCTGTCAAGAATAGAACAATACGTTTATAATTCATTCAATAAATTTTCATGTGTGATATAGCTTTATTAAATAATATTGTTACCCGTGTCTTATTGAGTTGTAATTATTTAATAAACTTGTAAGCATATATTTAGTATGCCTCTCAATGACAGAAAGAAAAATATTAGCATTTAAGGCATAAACTCGCTTCGTGAATTTAAGCTGATTATTGAGTTCGAATATATGTGAATTTATGGTACCAAGAAAGACTCAATTCTTTAGCTATTTTAAGTATAGAGAATGGAATATTTGAAAGCTTAAATATATATAAAAGACATTATTAAAGACATTATTTGCTACTAAAAAAGTCAGAAAGATTAATATTGATTCCAATAATTAAATTGATAAGTTAAATTATGTTTGTTTTTCTCGCTTTTTTGTAGTAATAATCATATACCTATATATATTTTTTTATATTTATATATATATTTTATGTTCGTGAGTCTGACATTTTTAATAATTTTATATATACATATATATATAGGTATACGATTACTACAGAAAAGCGAGAAAAACAAACATAATTTAACTTATTAATTTAATTATTGAAATCAATATTTATCTTTCTGACCTTTTTAGTTCTGTTATATATATATATATATATATATATATATATATATATATATAAAATACATAGATATATTATGATTTTTTCATTATTTACCTATAATTTTATTTACCTATTTGACTAAATGCTTAAAGTTTTATAAAATTGCTATTTTGATTCTATAGAAATAAATCTCTCCTGGCTTGTCCAATCCAAAAAATGAGAGGCAACAATTATTTGCTGGCACTGCATTAATGCTTAGGATAGACCTGGTTATACGTAGTGTTATATAAATATCATCTTGATTATACGTAGCAGGATCTTACACATCAGAAGTATATACTCCTTTAGTTTTTGTATTCCGTTTTCGTAAAGTTTTATTTAAAAGACTGTTAAAGACAATTTTTCCAGAAAATTATTCGCGAGAAAAAATTAATTGAAGAATCATAATCGCGCTTATGCTTGCATGTATTAGCCGATCTTCTTTAATTAATATCTTGAAATTTTACGTAATGGTTTTCAATAGTACATGACTTTTTAGTTAGTTTATCGAAATTTACTTATAGTTTTTTTTTGCGAGAAATTATACTGACACTCTGTATATATAGTTTATTTTTAGTAAAATGTATATAAGCATATAATTTAATTGGAATAATTAAATTTGAAAAAACAATCTCATTAATACCAAGTGTATGTAAGTACGATAATTATTATACAAGATACAAAAGAAGATGCGTAACATCTTTAATGAAATTTGATAATACATATTGCACAAGAGGTAATAATAAGATAGGATAATTTTCAAATAGAGAAAAGAAATATATATATATTAAAAAAATACATATAAAAAAATTATTCATGAATACTCAGTCTGTTTATTATTGTTTTAAGTGGTGCTACTTTATTTATAAGATCAATAAACATGAAATCGAATTATATCAAACTGTTATATCGAGATTTCGAGTCGTGTTGTAATTAGACAGGTTTCTCTCTCCCACAGGTGAATGATTTCGTATAATTCACGTCGATGTCGATGTACGCGGCTGATACGTGAATATGAACGACAGGAATTTACGCGAGTACCTACATACACCCGGCGACGAGGAAGGATCGATCAGCGCCCTGGTCCCACTTCGTCTGCCGCGCGAATATCTAATTGCTGTTGCGCCCCGCTAACTGGGTCAGCGGTATATTATTTCGGATTAGCAGACCGAGGAGAGTCAATCTCACAACGTTATCATCAACCTGAAATCTATCTTAGATCCAGGCAAAGTTGGTATAACCACTAAGAATATCTATTCAATTAAATTCTGTATTGTCAACATAATGAAATTAACAATTTCAATTTAGTAACTCCACTTGTTTGTATGACATAACTTTAGCATTGTGTTTTCAATATTTGTAAAAAAATTCCGATTTCTATTTTTTAATATATGTAAAAAATTTTTTATTTTTAATAAAAATATTTGATTAAAATAGAATGTTAAAACGAATGTATTATATGTGCAGGAAACGAATATATTCACGAATGTATTATATGTGCAGAAAACAAAAAAAAATGAAGATTAAATGCAACTAATATTTTGCATGCAGAATTACAAAATGTAGATTCAAAATAAGGTATTTTGTCACTGTCGCTGCTATATATATGAAAATATTTCTTTAACTTATTGTTTCATGATTACGTGAGAAAGGATTCTATCCCGCAGGGGCTTACAATGGTGAATACGGGCTTAATAAAGAGAGATACCCGAATTACTCTGGAGATTTTTTTAACCCATCATTCTCTCTCAAGAGTCTTCGAGATACAGATAAATAAAAAAATATTTTAAAAAATATAAAAATATATATATTACTTAAAATATTAACATCCGAGAAATAAATATTAATATTGAGTTATTAAATACACTCAGATTTTTGTTATTTATACTTTACATGAATTTCTTTTTCTATAATTATTGCTTTTGAATATTGAATATTTCGTACATCTTATTTATAAAAATCGAAAAATTAAGAAATGTGAGATGGTAACAGTTTATTTCCAATAAATAAACATAAAGGTAAATTTTTAAATGTTATGAGACATTCGTGGAAAAAAGATTCGAGGGAAGATCCGTCGATTGATCCTAAAGCGCATATAATTCGCGTATCGAGCACAATTCAGTCGTACAATCCAAAAAGATTTAAAATATCTTTACGACTCAGCATACTTTAAAGTTCGCTTCGTTCTCGTTTTACACTGCTTCCTTTCTATTTTTCTATCGGAAAACTAAATTACTTTATAGCGCTCTTTGTGATCGCTCGAGTGCCCCCGAATAAGGATCGTTTCTAGTGCGCGAGCGAATTCGATGGAAATCGAGACAATGAACTCGGTTGGCAATCCATATCAGGATACTGTAGAATTAACGATCCTGGCAATAGCTTCTCTCGCGCTTATTTGCATTTATGTTGCAAAACATGCGAAAATCTTTAAAATCGGAATTAAAACAACATGATCAGATCGCATGTGTTTAGCGTCATTATTATGTATTGGTTTCAATACATATGATAATTAGTTTTATCAAAATTTATAATTATTATTAAAATTAAAGAATTTATAAAACGTTATACTATAATTAAATATAAATTATACTTCGTTATTAGTAATAATAACTATCGACTTTTTCTCAAGTACAGACGCATTATTTTTTTCTCTTAATATTCGATAATTATAATATAACGTCGATCGACAGCGATGTGTATTCCATATGATGTGTGGATCACGGATTAAAAAGTTATCGTGTGGAAATGGCACGTTGTTTTCAGCGACGTCTATCTCCCGAAAACTATTTCAGTTTCGACAGAGAGGACGAAACACGGTCCGCGGAAAATAGAATTAAAAACATTCGATTGTGTGTCTGCACCGAATGGTCGAGCCAACGATCGCAAAGCCACGTGAAGCTTCTATTCTTGACAATCCATTAGCTCTTTGGACCGAAAAGGATTCAGTATCGCGCATCGGGGCATTCGATTGGGACGCATAATTGAAAGGATCTAGAATGTACTTTGCGCCGACAATGAATATTTCAGCAGAATCTGTCGAACGTGAAACTGCTCGTCAAAACTCTCGGGACTTTTGATAATCCGTTATTCCAATCATCATTAAACATAAAGTATATTTGTGAACCGAGATAATAAATGATGTCTTTCTCCTTCCAAGAGAGAATATTTACAGAAAAATGACTGCCTTGATGAGAATCTATAAATGTCATTATTATGTATATTTGAATGAATTTGTAAAGAGAAATCGATCACAAAAATAAGTTATTATTACTTTATTTTCAAGTAATACATCTCGTTGCAGTAGTAAAAAAAGACAGAACAATTTTATAAACCGAATTGTCTATCTTCGATACGAAGCGATGGCATCGAAAGGATTCCCCAGAGCTATTAAAAGTTCTTCGTAAATGTTATTCAGAATTGGGACGTTTATTAAACTTGGATAAAAATCGCGGCGCAATTCCAATTGGAATACCGGGGCGAAAGTTTTTCAGGGCGCGCAGACACAATGGAAAGGATTTTGCACGGTGCGGGATATTGAATCCGGCGTAGCCGAGAGATGTGAAATATAATGGCAAAAATAAGAACGCGCCACGCGACATCGCGTGTGTTCGCGCGTCGAAATGCATTCGATAATCGCCGAATCTCGCGATTAGACAATCTCGCGGCGCGAATTCGCGTCGCCTCGCTTCCACCCCCTTCCTCGCCCTCTCGCCTCCTCTCGCGGAGAAACGCCGTGCGTGAAATTGCGAATCGCTTGTGAATCTCCCCGCCATTATCCCCGCACGCTCTTGCTTTTCGCGATTAAAGTTTATGCGAATTCAGATTAGCGTAACAGCTGCCGAGAGCGTGCGCGAGCCATTCCTGCAACTTTGCTCCAATTACTCGCGATTATATCTTACGCGCGTTTAAATCCGCGCGATAAGGTTTAAAGCGTTATTCTCGGGCAGATCCGAAGTACCGCTCTCTATCTGGAAACTCTTGTTTTCTACGATTATTGCACGATTATTATTACGCGATGAATATTTAGCTCTATGCGTTCTCACAGCATTTTTGAAAAACGGATCATTACCCTTCGCGATTACGGAATTTAAAGTCGCGCGAAAAATTAAATTAGAAATTGACATTTAAAAGTTTCACCTTTACAATTATTATGATAGTATTACGCATCAATATATTATATAAGCTTGATTTTATGAAATATTAAATTAAAATATTATATTAAATAAATATTATATAAATGAAATATATTAAAATCCAGATTTGCGCAATCAATTCTGAGAATCTTTGCTTCTCATTATTTTTATGCTTTATATGAAATTCGCCAAGAGTTGATTACGCAAAGGGAGCTTGGCAAAAAAATACGAACCTCCCGAAATTGGCGTCGTCCCTTCCTCCTCAAATACGTGGCGAACGCGAGGAGATCCGCGGCAGATCCCTCGGGGAGATGTGCATCACGCCTACCGGAAACCGCACGCCTGGAACCCCCGTATCCGATGATCCCGGATCGCGAGCGGGATTCCCGGGTGATATCGTCTGTCCCCGAACTGTCTCCGCAACTCGCGACGCCGACTTCGACGACGGGGTTAACACTGGGCCCTAACTTCGCGCGCACTCCAAGCCACGCCGGTCTCTCGCAGCAGCTCTCGGGACCGCTGCACACTCGCACGCACTGCACCCACGACTGAAGGCGGGCACCGTCGTGATGTGGTTGTCGCAACGGGGTGCGACGCGCCGGGATATCCTGGTCGCTTGATGGCGCCACCGGGTGCGCGCCACCGGACGCGACGAGGGAGCCCGCGGGAGAGACAGGCGCATCCGGGAGGAGCGGTCCGCGCGTCGGGCGGGGTAGATGGATTCCGCAGGAATCTGGACCGAACTCGCGCGCGGGCGAATCGCCGACACGGTAACCGCAAAGACGCCAATTTTGGAAAGAGCGCGAAACATCATTTCGATGCCGCGAGAATCGAGATAAATTTGAATGGATTTGAAAGATTGATTCAATAGATCGATCGCACAGCCCGTTTGACTCTGTCAAAATCTATTTTATCGATAATCCATCGATAATCTTATATCTATTTTATCGATAATCTTGAATGAGGCCAAGAATAATTTCAGATCGACCAATTGAAATATTGTTATATGAGATTTATGTCGTATATAAAGATATTGGAAAATCGCATTACATATGCACACGAAATATAATAAATATAATAATTAAAATATGATAATTAAATAATATAATAAATAATATAATTAAATAATATAATTAAATAATAATTAGAAATTGAAAAGATCTAAATTTTGCCTTGATTTTTAAAGAGATATAAAATTATTATTCACAGATGAATTCCAAATATTTGAGAAGAACATTAAACTTTTTATCGCTTTCTTTAAATAGTATTTAAAATTTTATTTAATTCTATTCATTATGAACATCTAATTTTTATGTTTTCTTCTCTGAAACATAAGACAAAATTTTATTTGGATCGTTCAGCACTTGTGTATCGTTAATAAGATCAAATAATTAATTGCTTCATTTTTCGAGATTACAGTAAAATCCCTTGAATAGTAAATCCTATTATAAATATAATGCAAAATAATTCATATTATTGCTACTCGGATTATCTCGTTGAAAAATTAGCTAATTTACGGTGATGTTATTCGACAAACGTCGACAACGTCTAAAAAAGAATTATTACGAGTGTCATATCCAGATCATAAATTATCGTAATCTGTCTCTTTAATAAGAGAACGTTTCTCGTGCCAATATTCTTCGTGAGACTTGTAATGTGACAGATATTTTACAATGATATTTTACAAATGATATTTGAATACTGTGTTTTTTTAATGTTACATAAGATTAAATAATAATCGGAAAACTTTTAGTTGCGAGAAGATAAAGTGAATTTTGATGACTATGCAATATAAAATTCCTGAATATTTTATACATAAAATACATGTATATATAAATACATGTATATATAAATAATGTAATATATTTTTACTTTAATCGTTTGCTTTAAATGTGAGAACTTAGTCTTCGAATATTTATAAAAATCGATACATCGCATCAATTTAATTTTATTTAATCAAAATTTACTCTCATATACTTGTCGTAAAAATGTAACTTTTCTTGAAACTGTAAACTTGTATTACAATGATTTCGGGGATGTTGTTAGTAAATAGGGATAATACGGGACAGCCCTCACGTGAATTTAATTTAATATCGCTCATGAACTTAGAGCCTCCATTTTATAGCATAGATCAAGCTACCTCTGTGAAAAGCACCGGAACCGGGGCAATGGATGTTCCTTAACTAAAACAATGGATCGGTGGCATTGTATGGCGGTGCACATTAACCGTGCTGCGATCCCTTTAAATCACCGGTACGAAATATCCGGTTTTCGATAACGCGTGCGGACATATTGATAAATTAAGATTACGATAGAAAAGAGAGAGAGAGAGAGACAAAAGACAGAAAAACACACGAATTCTTAAGATTCTATACTGCAAATCTAACAATAACAGACTGAACCGAGTAGAACAGGCGCAATAAAGTGATTCATTTCGATTCAGAATAGCTCGTTTATCATTTCGGTCTTTGAATGCCAATCTTTCTGCCGGCAAATGAGAAAAAAGCTTGAGACGGGTGGAAAGACGCCGGCGCCAGAAACGGAGGAAAAAGGGGCTGGGAAAGTTCGGCGGGTTGTTTGTCAAGAATTAAATTCCTTCCTTAATTCATCCGGCGGATCGTTATAGCGCGGGTACTTCGAACGGACCTCAGAAATTTCCGAATCAATCCGTGCCGCTTCGTTCCCGACGCAGATTGAGATCTCTTTCTTCTCTTAGTTCACTCGTCGTTAATCTTTGTAGGCGTTTTAAGGGTCGGAAGCAACGGGACGTTTCTCAAAACACCAGAGATACCGTTCATCAAAAGAATATTAACTCTTGTTTATAGCATAAAGCTGCAACGAATTACAATATTTTTCTACAGAAGAGAAACAATTCAAAAACGACAAAGAACGGAATGCGTTTCAGTTTAATAGATTCTATTTGAAATGTCATATTCTGAAATTTAATTATCGTATTACGCATTGTCGGAGTGACAATGTCGCTTTATCCCGAAAGATGTTCTGTTCTGCATCTATTCAGATGGGATGTAAACTTAATTTCATCGTGGGGGACGTGAAAGCTCTCCAACGACAAAGACGGGGTGATATTTTCCTATATCATCTGTGCTTTTTACCAGGTTGACATATTTTTCCTTTGCCCATTGTGTGAGTTATACATCCTGTGTCGAACGATCGGATAAACGCGAAAAGATGGAGGCGGGTGGTTGACATGGGAGTTTCATATTGAAGCGGACTTGGCAAAATTCCAATAATCTCCTTGGATCACCATCATCGCCGTTATCCTACCTATGCCTCGCGATTTCGGTCTCAAATCGTGAGTTCGTCTGACCGATTTACTGCTGTCCAACATTGTACGTGGTAGGTCCAACGTGTATGATAGGTATTCATATGTGTGTACATATATGTATATGTATATGTGCGTGATTGAGTCGAGAACATCGAGGTGAAAAATGTCAGGCGGCGTTACTGGAATTAGAATCCGGGGAAATACAAGCCGGAAAAATACGGGATTGGGCCATCGATCTTGCATCCGAGGCAGCTTATGGACGCTCGCGGACATCTTTCTTCGCCTCTGTATGCAAATATGATGCAAAAGAGAAACCTACCTGTAATTTTGATACTTGTATGTGTTAATAAAATAAAATGCAATAATTTTTAATTCTAGAAGAAACAAGAGAAGAAACATGCTAGTAATCTCATAATCGCTTCTCTACTTTTCACATGATATTAATATGAAACTACAGCATAGGAAGAAATCTCATTAAATATTCAATTAAAAGTAAAAAAATTTTTTTAGAAAAGCGAAAGGTTTCTTTGTAATTAAAGACATAATAAATTGAAAATTATATACTATTTAAACGATTATATTGAATTTGAATACAGAGAGATGTATAGTGTCAATCGTGCATTAATGGAAGTAAAGAAAATATAAAATTTGATATGTGAATATAACGAACATGCATGATGGAATAAAGATTGAATACTTTGGAAGAAACGCTCACTGACCTGGTAGAAGTTAGATATCTAAGATGGGGAAATTTAAAGCTGGCTCTCAGCGCAGAAACTTGATTGGAGTCAAAGTGCCCTGGATGGAAATTACCTTCGTATTACCGCCGAGATTTTGCTTCGTATATGTAGTCAAAGTAGATACGCTCGCGAGCACAGAAGTTACTATTAATTTCAAGTCCGACGCAGTTCGCGATGTTTCAGCGGCAGGAGTTGACTCTCAGTTTAAATCGAGTTATCACTATAGAATTTCCAAACTGTGATCCGGCTCTCTCGGAGACCACGGAGACGAATATCCCTTTTATTACGGAAGTACCGAGATCATAATCCATGATACACTGCTGAGCCTCTTCCTGAAGGAATGACAAAAAAAGTTTGTCGATTATTTCACGAGACAAAGAGTTAAGGGAGTGAAATTGATGAATTAATAAATTATCAGTAATAATTTGTTACAAATCGGTTAAGAACTCAAGTTACTGTCAAAATAATAATTAATGTATGTGTTAATGCGACTTTCTTAGTACGCAAATTAAATAAATATTAAATTCCTTAGTATCTGTTCTTATTAATCAAAACTTTAAACAATTATCCTTGTAAATTTCATAGTTACAATTGAGATGCGAGAGCGGTAGATTGCCTTATTATTATTATCCCGAAGAAAGTTAGCTTTGTGTGTTTTGCGATGCCGAGATAGAATCTTCCCCAAAAGTTTCGAGCTTTATTTGACAGACTCTTTCGGACGAAAATCTGTCAGAATCAACAGCGGCTTTGCAAAATGCGAGCTGCTTCTACGGAAAGTGCACTGCACTTGTTGTGTTGATTTAGGTGTCTGCATGCTTCTGAACTTCGATAAAGATGAAAATATCTTCGTCAATATGTGTTCCTACAAATATTTTATAATATAGCGCAAACATATTTCTTCCACCATTGTGATGCTGATCAGTGACACTCAACCCGTTCTTGATTCTCACACAACGGAATTTTTAATTAATTCTGTTCTCGAGATCACGTTCTTCTAGGGAATTGAAAATATTCTTCCAATAAATATCGATTACAGCGTTTGTATTTTATTGCAAGATAAATTGAATTAAAAAAGGGACAATTAAATAATCAACAAGCATCGCGGTTTAATTAAATTTATTTTCCAACACGAAATCAAAAGAATGTTTGATTAAATCCATTTAAAAACTATTAAATGTCATTAATATCTAATTGACAAGTTTAGAAATCTTTCAATTTTAGCTGAAAAGCTATTTTGTACAAATAGTAATCTTTAATTAAGAATAATAAGAAATCATACATACAGTTAATTAAAGATTTATTAACTGTATATCATTTCACAGCCATTTCCGTCCAACTATTATCATGTAGTGCAAACATTAATAAAATTAATAATTTTATTAAATATTTATAAAAATATATTTATAGACATAATACGTATTATTATGAATAAATAAATACACACACACACACACACACACACACACACACACACATATATATATATATATATATATATATATATAATTATGATTCAAAATTTAATTAGAAAACTATACACAAATATATATATATATATATATATATATATATATATATATATATATTAAAATACAAATTGTATGTGCGACAATTGTATAAAATAATTTATATAATTATTACAAATATATGCAATTACTTTAAATAAAGTAAATGTTATTTCTTTTCACAGCAACTTTTAATAACTGGCTAATATTTCTGTTCTTTATTTTGCTGATATTACTAGATATTTTGCTGATATTATGCTTCACATATATCTGTGAATCTGTATGAACACGTAGTCTCAGTGGATGCGGTGAAGAACAGCTGAGGGAAACAAGGACTCTGCAACGTGTGATTCGGCAATCCTGGAGAACTGCAGTCTGCTTGCAATCAGATGCCAAGTGAGAGCAACCCAACAAATTGCGCCAATAAGCTCGGACATCTCCAAAGGCCCCATTGCAAATTTCAACAATTCGTCGACAGTGCCAACCTGTCATTGAGGTAATTCTCACGTGGATTTTCCGCCAGGATTCAAAACGTGATTGATTTGATCGTTGCCAATATTCTTTATTTCTTGTATGTGACAGGTATTCGTAAATACGTACGATTGCAGCATTAATACCTTATTATTTTCTATAATTTAATTACATAAAGTTTAAGTTATTATTTAATTAAAACTAGAAAAAATAATAATTAATTATAATTTCTATTTTAATTGCGTTATAATAGAAAGAAATTAATTTATCATAATAATTATAATGCAATGATAGCAATATAGCATAATAAAAACCAATTTAACAAAGTTTATAATTAATGTTAGAATATAACTAATTAATCATAATATATATTTAATCAATAATTATTATACAATTATTTATGGTTAATTAATTCGTAATTAATCGAAATGCAATGCTAATGCAAATACACCGTTTATATTCGAATCATATATTGATATTCATCCGACTTATTTAAAATTCTATTAGCTATCAAACCAAGACGTATAGGAACTTAAATAAATTAACGAAATTGAAGTCTATTAAAAACACTGTTTTTTGTACAATCTCATGTTTATGACGCTCTCATTGAGACTTATAAATTATAAATATTATATTTTCAAGGCGGCTACAATACTTTCATTATTTCGTCACATAAAATTTTATTCTTTTTTTTTCAAATATAGCATTTATAAATATTGTTTAAAATAAAGAATATATTTTATTAATATAGAAAATCTTTAAAAAAATTTTTAGCTGTATTATTATTTATTTGTTTTACAAAAAGAACATATATAATCTTCTATATTATAGTTTATATGTATTGAAAATGCTAAATCTTTGGATATAAAGTTTTAATTATAAGACTTTATAAATTACGCAATATTATATTTTTATATAACTAATGTTGTAAACTAATGTTTTAAATTGTTTTTGAAAATATGTTTAAATTCTTATTGAGTCACTTTCTTCTCTATAATATAATATTTATATTTACTCTAAGTAATATTATGTCTTTTATTTAAAAATCCTAGTTTAAATCTAGAAAATCTATACAATATCATTTATCTGCAACCAATAAATAAGTTTGAATCATTACACAAGACGTTTTACATGGTCTTACTAGATGCAGATAAAATAGAAAACCTTACTACACTTTTACTTGAAAATAAATTCGATTTATCAAAAGAAATATAAGTAGATGTTATCTGTTATGATACAATTATTACAAAATTATCTTATTTTCAAAAAAAAGACACCAAATTCTAATTTTTGTCTAACAAATTATTTTATATAGAATTATTTCTATACAAATTTTATTTCATTTAATTTTAAAGTTGAATTAGTTTCGTAGAAACTATATTTAGAATTAATAAATTTAAATTTACAATTAAATTTGTGTAATTTAAAAATATAAAAATAAATGATCTAATATTCGAGAAAAATATTCAAGAAAAATAAATTTAATAAAAACTTATTAAATTTAAAATTAATTTGTTCGTTTAAGATTACTTTTAGAAAGTTGAAAAGTTATATCAAAAAAAGTTAGAAATATGAAAAAATTTCTCAAATTTCTTTTCAGAACTTTAATATATAATGTATTGAATAATTTATATAATATATGGAAAATCGATTTCCGAAACGAAATGAAATCTATTCTATTATAATTTTCATATATAGTTTAAACCACAAGCTCTTATTTTCTGAAAAGAGTTTTAATCATTAACAGTGTTAATTAATTTTTTCATATTCATATAATTATCTAGTGAAAGATGCAGTACCAGATTTTACAAAATGCCATATGAAAAATCACGATAGTTTTTAAAATATTAGTTTTAATATTCTTCGAATCTTTAGATTTTTTTATGTTTCGTAGGACGCCTAGAATTCTAATTAAAAGAAAAATATTTTCAAATATTATTGTGTGTGAAATTAAAGTCTCTTTAATTATATATATTCGAGACTAATCTTTTCGTTTATCTTTGAGATTAATTCAGAGAAAGAGCCAGATTAACAGAAATACTTAGGATCTTCAGATTTGGAGCGATAGAGCGGAAAATTTTTTCTAAAGAAAAATTTCTAAATGATAAATAGAATAATAAACAAGAAATATTATTATTTTTCTGAATCATAATTCGCAAATTATTTTGTGAAATTTAGATTAATGCATCTATTAATGTGAAATGTATATTAATGTATTATTTTTTGAGCTATTGTATATTAATTTATTGGACAAGATATAAATTAGCAGAGTAACTGTACTCTCAATAAAGCATAATTATTTCGTGGTTGACATATGGTTTTGGCGGATCAATGTATATTTGTATAATATGTACCTACATGTGGTTTTATTCTTATCTGTTTTCATTAGCTCCATAAATTTGCAATAAATTGTTTAAGTAAAAAAAATGTAATTGCATTAATCAACGATTATTGTAATGATATATAATATTTATTTTTTCTTTTTACAGTTAATTTTCTCAAGGATATTATAAAAACTATATCTCTTATAATGGCAATACAATTTTATTTATTTACTAAACAACACAATACAGAGAAAAGAGCGATTAAGAGCTACCACGGATGGTAGTGTGTAAAATTTTATTAAAGATTAATAATTCGCGAAAATTAGAACGTGCACAAGGCATATGCATATATTTTACTTGGCATATATTTTACTTGCATTTACCAAGATATAGATTCTCATTTTTGAGAATTCTATAAAAATCCCTCTTTACCCCCTTGAAGAGATGTAGACGAGAAAAATATCGGAGCGAAGTCGTTGAATCGGGAATTTATTTATTTATTAAATATATTCCGTGTGTATTTATGTATTTAATATATTTAATATAAATATTATTATAGATAATAAATATAAATTAATATCTTAATAAAAATAATTTTGATGTAAAAAAATTTATATTTGTTTAAAACTATAAACAAATATTTTTTTAAATTTTCTGTTTCTCAATCATTTTTGCACCTTCTTTTTATATAATAAATATTTCTGTACTAAAGGAAACTATTTAACATTTTAAACATCTTATTTCTATTACTCCAAAAAATTATTTCTTTGTAATGTATAACTTTGAATATTTCTTTATTATCTTTTCGATTTCTTCTCTCTCTCTTTCTTACTTCTAAGAATAAAATGTTGCAAAATAATTTTAAAATGAATTTTAAATTTGGTATCATTTGAAAGTTTCTGATCACAAAAATTTCTAATAATGTTTCTTGTTAGCTATTAAATAATTTCCGAAACAAGAGTTTCTGATGTTTTGAACGAGAAAATCAATTTTGATTGAAATACGGCTGCAAGGTTTTCACTTGAGATAACCACTACTATATACAATGAGATGGTAAACCTATTCGAAACTCGTTATTAGTCGGAAACTCAAGTTTCCGATCGGAACCGTAAATAGTTTCGTCATGTGTCACTAGCAGAAACACAATTTCGCAAATAAAATTTCTCGATTTTTTCTTCTTTTTTTTCGTGAGAGGAATGTTAAATTTACAAAAATTCACATGAGCGAATTTATGATTAATTCACGATTGATTAATGTGGGATGATTGATACACGGTTTGGTTTCCAACATGTGGTTTTCAAATTAATGAATTAATGAGAATTAATTTCGTGGAATTTGACTCAATGAGTGGGGATTGGCTATATAACTTAAAAATTCATGTGCAGATCAGTCGCATTGAGATTGTCATTTAAGTTGCGTCTCAGTGAAATGACAGGCAAATCACACATAAAAATGGACTTAAGTCACTTGCTCGTTTCATTGACATTGTTTTTCACAGGTAAAATATGTTTTTTTTTCAGTAAAATAAAACATAGTTTTTTATATATATATACGAATATTATATATAATATTATATATTATATATAATTATATATTCCATACATTATATTTCTATAATAATAATAAATATTTTTATAATACACATAAAATTTTATTTTTAAGATCAGGCCAAATTTTAAAGTAATAATTAGGAATGTTAACTATTCAAAAGTATTTCTCTAATCAAAAAGTTTTAAGATACAAGCGTTATTATTCTTTTGATGTATTGCTTAGAATTAAAATTAACAATTTAATATAAGAAACATTATGCACTTAGATTTATTGACAACTGAAATTTATCTTTCACTCATCTTTCATCTTACATCATTTGCTCATTCGAAGGCAGCATAATGGCGTTGTTACGCATTATTTATGCATTTGTACGAAAGTTTATTTCAAATGTACTACAAAAGTTTTTTAGATTATATATATATATATATATATATATATATATATAACTACAATTGTTAAAAAAATAAATATTTTTTAAAAAAGACCGCAAATATAGTAGTGGCATTACTTTGTTTCAGGTTTACAAGCAGCCGAATGGGGATATTGGGGAAAAAATGGTAAAAATAATTTAAACGATAATTTACACATACACACACACACAACAATTATATTGTGGCATGATTAAAAACTCCCCTTTTACACTTGCTAACACTTGCACTTATTTTAATATATTAGAGAAAACTGGAAGAAATATTACAATGAAATCAATTTTCATGATGCGAATCACTAAATTATAACCTTTTTATGTACATATATACATTTATACATAAATATTTTAATATAATAATATATAATTTTAAATATAATAATATATAATAATATTGCATTATATATGTGCCAAATTTTCTATTTCATTCATGCTATTGTATAAATAAAATTAAATAAAATTAAATAAATAAAATTACTATCTGCGGATTTTTTAAATAATTCCATAGGACCAGAGAACTGGCCAGGAATTTGCACAACAGGAAAAAAACAATCGCCAATTGACATTTCAACGAAAGATGCTACAGAAATTGATTCCGGTCGTCTCAACTTTGATCGATACGATATACCGTTTCGTGCTACTGTGGAGAATGATGGACATTCTGGTAAATAGCTTATACGTTAATAGTTTTAGATTTATTAATTAATCATTAAACTTTTTTTTCTTAATTTTAAGACAAATATTCTTCAACTACTTTTTTTAAATCTTACAATTAATCTAAATTTTAACAGTACATTTATTGTATCCATATGAGTTTTATATTTTAAAAAATCCTAAAAAATGTATATATTTAATATTATTTCTATCAATCTTATATACAGACAATTGTTAATTCATGTCATATATTTGTAAAACGGTATTAAATACACTTTTATCTAGTAATGGCTAAAATTTATAATTTATATCTGAATAGAGAGAAACATGAAAATTACACATATTATACGTAGATATAATATTCGAAGTTTAAAAAATATGATTAAAATGTAATTAAAATGTGATAAAAATAATAAAAAAAGAATTTACTTAATTTTTATTATAATCACTTTTTCATAAAAAAACAACTCAATTTTTATCATAGTGAACGTAATAAAGTTGAACACATCAGTTAATTTCTGTTCGCATTAACAATATGATTAAACATTTTTTAACAAATCTCTTCAGTGGAAATTAAATTGCATGGTGTTCCGGCTCATCTAAGCGGCGCAAATCTGCAATCGGAATATATTCTCGAACAAATGCATCTTCATTGGAGTGCTGAGCATACCGTGGACGGTTTAGGTGGTCCTTTGGAGTTACATTTAGTGCATTATGATAAGCAATATGCAAATTCCAGCATAGCCGCTCAACATGAAGACGGGATTGCCGTTGTCTCGTGTCTATTTGAGGTAAAAATAATATTCGTTACATTACGCTCTTTTATTTCTCTTCTTGTTCTACATCAATAATATTTTCTAACACAGCATTGATTGTAATACTTCGTTACAGTTGAGCAAACATGATAATCAACAGCTAGAGCCAATTGTAAAAGCGACAAGAGAAATTTTATATAAAGTGGGAAAGAGCACGGCGATACAAAAAGAATTGATACCTCTGTCGTTCCTACCAAAGAATTATAAATCATATTATCAATATCAAGGATCATTAACTACACCAGCATGTCAAGAATCCGTTAAATGGTTTGTTCTAGAGGAAAGATCTCCAGTGTCGACAGCACAGGTGATTTGAAATTGTGCTTATAATGATCTGTTTTACAGATATGTAGGTTTTCTTTTTTTTATGGAAATTGATAATAAGATATTTTTTTAAATTTAAGCTATTTTAATGGCATAATATAATAATTATTTTAATACTTAATGTATGTATTCGCACACATACAGGTGAACGTATTCAAACGCCTTAAAGGCGACCATGGCAGACAGACGTCCAATAACAGACCCACACAGGAACTTAATGACAGAAAAGTTTACCATTATTTAGGATGATTTGCGCGCCAATAAGATGAAGTTTCGATTAATAAGTTTTATTTAATCCATTTAAATATAAATCTTACTCGATTGATTTTATTTAAAAAAATTGATTTTATTTAATAAAAATTTTTTGCAATGTTTCCTTTGAATTGTACATATTTAATCATTTGTTTTTGTCATTTGCACGAAACAAATATATGAATCTGATCTTTGATGCTCCCACTTGAGCACAAAGTAAATAAGAATAACGCTTGTCGATTTTTACATTTTAGAATTAGTCATTTTTTAAATTTATCTTTACAATAAAAAGAACTTCTTTATATCAATGTTTCTTGGATAAGATTCATGACAGATATTTTACTCAAAGAATATTTAAATGAAAACAGTAAAAAAATCTCTTTCTCTTTCTCTCCTCCCTTTTCTACCCTTTCTTCCTCACTCTCTCTCTCTCTCTCTCTCTCTCTCTCTCTCTTTCTCCCCCTCTCTCTCAATATAATACAAAAACTAAAAGAATATATACCTATTAACTTCTGTTGATGCGTAAGATATCTTATGCTATATATATAATCAAGATGATATGTATATAACACTACGTATTTCCATATACTGTTAGGTATGCCAACTGAGCCATCAGTTTATGATAGCCTCTTGAAGCAATAAGTTCGCAATTGAATGCTTTTGGTGTTAAATCTGGTATTAAACCTGGCTGATTCAAGTAATAGGGTATAGATATTAAATATATAATAAAATATTTATCTTTCTTTAAATGTGCATACAAAATTGTGTGGAGTAATATGTAACGCTTTTATTTTGTAAAAGATATTTTCTTTAATTTTCAAATCGACTAATTCATTTTATTGTAAATATTATTGTTATCTTTTGCGTACATTAATAGAAATGAAGACATTTACGTTTGTACTGTAATAACATATTTCGACCATTTTGACATATAGAAAGTGTAAAATTTAGAAGCTAAATTTCTTTTTAACATTATAAAATTATTGTGTAATTAATTTTATATTATTTCTATAAAATTATCTAAGCTATATAAAATATTATCTCATTATCTAAGCTATGAAATTATCTATTTTAAAAACGTATAATATTACCTGTGTTTTGTTTATAAAATATTTTTTATAATGAATGTTTAAGACCAGTAGGATATGTTAATTTGAATGTGTAATGAACGAATAAACATCAAATAATAAAAGATTAACATTTTATTCAAAAAGATGTGTTATAAAAATATTAATAAAACATAATTGTTTTTAGAAGATTTTGGTTCGAATGTCTGATACAATTCGCTATATCATCAAAATTTCAAATATTTGATAATATTTGATTTCCGTTCAGTGTTTGTATGTTCTTAATACATTTCTTATTTAAGGAACAGATTGATTTTCAAAATAACATGTTAGTAAACATATAGTCCATATCATGTAGAAAATCGCGTTGTTCAGAATATACCTTCATTTCTCATTTAATGTTTATATATATATATATATATATATATATATATATATATATATATATACATTGAAATATGTATTATAATTGCACTAGGAGAAATCTTAAATATAGCTAAATAAATAAGAGTTATGTTTATTGTGCTTATTCTACTGGAATTATCTAAATACATCCTTCATGTCTCCTAATATTCAAATCCGAAAAAAATATTTCATATGTCGTTTTAATAATTTTTATATTTATCTTTTCTAATCATTCCTTTATTTATTAAACTGTATTATTTTAATTTTTTTTTAAATTAATCGTATTTTCTTATGAAGTAAATTAGTAAATTCTCTTAAATTCTCGTAAATTCTCTTAAACGTTCTTCACACAAAAGTTGATTGAATTACATGCTCTTTGTAAATATCTTGATTCAATAAAAAAATGTTTTTTATAGATATCCGAGTGAAATTCTACATGACATTCTTAAAACTATTAGTAGTAGTATAATATACCTTACTGTAATGACAATAGTCCTATGGATGATGAAGAATCAAAAATCAAAGGAGTAGAAATCGATGAATCGAAAATTGTGCGCAGTGTATTAAACGACAAATCAAGCAATATATCAAATTATATATTTCCGATACATTATAACATGAAGTTAATGTTACTCAATGATCATCTCATTAGCGTATGCATAATTACTTTAAATATTTCTTATGCAAAACAATACATAAGTTTTTATGCATCGAATTCAATGAATATAATAGCATCGAAATTAAAAAAAAAATAATAGTATGATTGGTGAAATAAAATCAATAAATTGTGTTAAAAACAATATTCTCGTGTTCGATTTCGGTGATGTCTTGTTTCATGGAATGTACAATCTGTATATAGAGTTTATAATCCCAATTAATATCGCAAGAGAGTCTTTTAGAACTCCGTAAATTTCTGTGTCATCTTCAAATTTGCGATAAATAACAAATAATCACATTAATCAATAATCGTTTATTATCAAAATATGTCATTTTTGTAAATTATTCATATTTATTAGAAAATTAATTTCTTCAAGAATATTATAAGAATTTGCCTTTTAAATTCTCTCATAAAGCTTGTAAGAAACAATGAAAAAAGTTTGATTTATCTATTTAAATTTTCTATTTATTTGATATGTAAGTATAAAGAAAAATAATATTATTTAAAAACATATTAATATTTCGATGAAGATATTAAATAAAAGTTAAATAAAATTTTTGAAGATTGGTACTTTTTTATCGCTTTTTAAATCTTTTTGTAGTAAGTCTTTTTGTGTAATCGGTTGCTTAACTAACATACATAAATGTTATGCAATCTTCGCGTTTCTATTTATAGTATATGTGATAATTCTTTGAAATTATATGTATGTAAGTTTATATTTCAACGACACGTTTCCAATATTATAAAATGTAAATAATTTTTTATAAGAAATCATGAAGTGACTAATATCTAATCGATAAATGATACATTGTGTAAATGAATGTAAATTATTGCACATTTTCATTTTAAATATATATATATATATATATATATATATATATATTATTTACAAATAAAATCGACGCAATATACTGCAGATTTTTGGATGATATCAAAACTATTACTGACACATCTATTAATATAAATTACAACTCGGATTTAACAAGCAAACTTCAAATATTTGTCTATACGGTTTATACGGAACTCAATCGTATTAATTAAAATTGAAAATATGAACAATCTTATCTTAGCAATTTAATTCTAGTAATTATAATTAAATTAATTATAATTAATATTGTACAATATATGATGCAGCAAAAATTATAAATTTATGATTTGTATGAAATTTTATATTTGTATTTTATATGATTCACATTTTATAGCATTTATAGTACTTTACTTCATAATTCTATTTATTTTTACCAATTATTTATAATAAAAACATCTTTTTTTACATCAAAAACTAGATTATTTTTATCGCTTTACACGTATAATAATTTTAAATATAAGAATAAGAAACGCAGTTTGAATTATCGAGCTATAGATATGTGTAATTATCAATGAATAAATCGAAAGCATCATTTTAATACTGTTTAATTAATCTGCAATTATGATAACATTTACGTTAATAAAATAACAAAAATAAGTTACGTTTATGTATAGCACGTTTTTACTTCCGATACAATATTGCTTTTTTCTATGTTTATATAGTTTTTTATGTTTTTCGCTGCTTTTAATTTCTTTTCTAACAAAACTTTAACAAATAGTTCTTAATTTATTAGCGCTAGTTTCCTTACATAATTATATTTTGGCATTATTTACAACTGCAATAATGCACTTCGCGATCTTTTTCTGAGTTTTCAGTCAATAGGTTCCGACTTGCAACATGTCACTATCTTATAATGAGCAGCGTCCATCGCTTGAGTAAGCTGTTCCTTGAGCTCTCGAGCCTTTACATATACATCCTCCTTCATCAGATTGTAACACATAGCTATCAGACCCATACCCAGCAGTAAGTACACGAAATTGATGATGAGCTTCGTCTGGCTATCCTGCGTGGAATCGCTCTGACTCCAGCCTGGCACGAAATCGCCCATACCGATTTTGCAGAGCGATGTAACGCAGAAATAAGCACTGTCTAGATAGTCCCACCCTTCCCACTCGGCGAACATGATCGCGCCAGCGAGAATGTAGCCGAATATCACCCAGAGACAAGCGGTCGAAGGTACAGTAATTCTCTGTCCAGGTTTCCGTTGGCCAGTGCATTCATGCAATCGTGTATACAGCCATTTAAAAGTTTGCGCAAGCACGCTGCCCATGTTTAGGAAGTAAAGCACGTAAAGCGGGATGCCAAGCACCGCGTATATTACGGTAGCAACCTTGCCCCACTGGGTCTTGGGCACCAGACTCCCATAGCCGATCATAGTGAATATTGACAGGCAGAACATCAACGCCGCCGGAAATGACCAGATGTCGATGGGTTTGAGGCCGCTGCAGTTCAGCTTCTGTCGCACCCCGTTGGTGATGTTCTCTTGATAACGGCGTAGGATACTATTGGATACCACATAAAAAGTAGTGTGGTTGAACACGTTCACTGATTGATTGCTGGCAGTGCTAAACCACAACTCGTCGGCGTACTCCCTGCGAATAACCTCCCGCACGCACACCGTCTCTGGCTGATCGATCTGGGTAGTCTCGATCATCATAAAGCCGAATGCGCCCACTATAGCGTAGCCTACTACTAATCCACCTACACCCACTTGGGTGCACATGAAAGCCACCAACTTTCGGCAACAATCCTTAACGCGTTCTCGAGGATCAACCCCGGTCGATGTCGAGGACGAATCTCGGCTCTTCAGAGAGGATCTCATCACGCGTGGCATACTTGGACACGAACTACCAGATCGGCAAAGAAACTCACATGGAACGCTACTTTGGCGCTGACACTCAACGACTCCCCTCGTGCCGCTTTTCTATTTTTGGTCGGAACGCCTTGCCACTCGCTTCTCGTTTCTTCTTCGAGCTTTTGCTGCCTTTTTCTCTTTTTTTGTTGAAGTAGTGTATCCACGTTGCTACGCGGTTTCACTTCTGTGGACAACTTCTGCGAGATTAGAATCACCAGATTGAAGATGTTTTATTAAAATGCACATACAAACATAATCCGTAAGTAAATTTTCTTACTACAAAATAATAGTTTAGATTTAAAATCAACTTTATCTCTAAACTTTAAACAAGCTATAAAAATAATTTAATATACTGTTTTTTTTCATAAATTATTAAACTCTTCTTACGATTTAATAAATAATATATAGGTAATGAAAGTTCGTTCTCTTAAAACTTAAAGGCAAAAACACACTATTAATTTTTACTTTTTTAGAAATTTTTGATTCGTTTCCTTTTCTCTCTCTTTTTTTTTAAAATTTAGTAAGAAATGCCATATATAAAATATTAAATTATTTTTAAATCATATAAATGTTTATTAATATATTTAATTTATTAATTTGAATAATATAATTTATTTTAATATCTTCTAAGGTACTTCTTTCTTTGATGACAATGTATTTAAAGAAAAAAATTGTTTTATTATTAAGCGATTACATGCAAACTGATACAGTTTACTATTTTTATCCACACCTCCACGAACAATCTCTACTAATTTTATCGAAATGCGTGTGAGTGAACTCGAAATAGTTATATATAACAGTGACTACTGCCAAATAATATTTAGCAACAATACATACGAAAACGGTTAAAATTTTTTATCCTAAACGAAAATATATCATGAAGAATTATTACAGATATGCGTTATTAGACACATGATATTTTAAACCATGAAATAAATGATTTATAAAAAAGTTCCTTATCGTTATTTGTTTTTATTATTTCAATCATATAAAATTCAATGAAAAGAATGTTTGTGAAACAATATCAAGTATGAAAGCAGCTTTAACGTGATGTGTCACCGTCATCAGCATTCCAAATAGCATCGCAAGTATATAGGAACATGAGGGGGAGATAGAGAGAGGATCGTGTGATATAATAAACCGCATCATCGTGAAAGAGGAGAAGATTACCTTTGTTAAATTATTTACTCTCTACAAAGCTATGCACGGAAGTATGCATATTTAATATTATTATAAATTTAATATTATTTCGCATATTGAAATGTTTATTTAAGCTTTAATAAGTACATAATCAGATTATGCAATTTTATTATATTTAACGTTTACGCCATAGTAACTACGCGTTGTTAAAATTACATACATTTATACAGATCTAAAGATAAACAAATTATATTTTATGGAGATACGCTACATATTTTGGCACCTGTTCGAGCGCATGGGCAATTGATCAATCGATCCGAGACATTCAGTTCTCATATTGACTGATCGAGAATGCAGTTTCGCGAGAGTTCAATATAAGCCTGCACGGGGGTTGGCTACGTCAGCTTCTTGACGAATAATTTGCCAGGTAGATCAGTCGGATGACGATCGTCGTCCAAGCTGCTTCTCGTAAAATAACGAATACATTACGTGTAAAAATGGATTTAGATCACTTGCTACTGATTGTATTAACGTTACTTTGCACAGGTAAAACATTTTGTGATTTTTCAATAGTATTTCGCGTTTTTTTTTTGTTCTTTTATTACTGGATTTTGAAGAATTTAAAAGAAAAAGGAGAAAGAAAGAATAAATGGAAAAATTAAGTTATTTTTGCGAGAAAGAGAGAGAAGTTAATAATCTATATATAAAATTAATACATAATACATATATGAAGCGATTTATTTAAAAGAAATAGTGTTTTGTGTATGTGTTTAAAAATAATAAAGCATTAAAAGTAAAAAAATAAAGAAAAGTAATTAAATGTTGAAAGCAAAGAAGCATCTTAATATTAAAAATAATTGTGCATTTATTAAATTCACTATTTATTCAATATTTCTTCTTTTTATCTATGTATTATAAAGAGAGTTGAAAATTCAGTTTGATAAATCAATTCATTTTTATTCTGCTCCTTTGAATTAAATTTTTGAAAAATTGTTCAAGAAAATCTACTTGCAACATATATGTCAGCCAATGAAGTATTTCTTGTTCATATTGTTCTTCTGTTACAAAATTTATTTTAAACTTAAAAATATTTAATCACATTTTGATAGTAACACAAATTTATTTACTGGAAGAAACACACTTTTTTTAAATATTTTCGGAATAACGAAAGTATGTCGCAATCTGGCTTCATTATAATCATATAAACTCTAATCTCTTGTATAAATCTGATTTATAAAAACACTTGTATACGAGTGACTATAATTATGATGATTTTCAATGAAAAAATGTAACGTTGATGATAGCTATGTTGATACTCATTTATTGATCGCTTGAATGCTGACGAAAGCATGAACCGCGAGTCTAAATTTAATATCTGGACCATGTTTTGTTCGCGAATTTAATTTTACTCGGATGATCGCTGCAGTTTGCTCACGATGACGATGGTGTATCGTTGCAACAATAATATAATATTTTACTTATTTCTTTACAAGCAAAGTAATAAATATCTAAGATCTTCCTTTTTAGCATTTTATTATACTTTTTGTATTTAAAATAAAAAAGTAAACATCATATTTTATAGAAAAATTTTTTTTATAAAAAAGATTACAGAAATGATTTTGCTAAAGGGAACAAAATTTGTAATAATTGAATAATTGAAGTATTTGTTGTTTTATTTTTTCATCTCTTCCAATGTTTCAATCCTTTTTTTTAAATAATTTAATTAATCAAAATATAGATTAAATGAATAAATTAAATGAATTATTTCGTCATCATTTATTCTATTCACGATTGATCAATATAGATAAATGAATGCATTCGATTATCAGGTAAAACATTTCAATTCTAATGTATTTAAGAATGCCATTTGCCTAATGGGATACGTTGATCAGATGATCAGTTGGTCCGCGTTATATGATATAGCAGCAATGCCCTGCCACATACCGCTGTACATGCTAAATTTCATGCGATAGCTCCTCATGTAATCTCGGGGTTATCTAGTTAGATTTACGTCGCGTTCATCAGTCGTACACTTGTCGTCATCGCGCTCGTGTGTCATTCATCGCGATCGTTTTAGGTGGCTCTCCGCGATGAATCTCTTTTGTCTAATCGTCTTTTTAGGTAAGGACTCTATCGCTGCGTTTCCTCGATAATTTATTCCCATCGTGATTACTCTTTTGTCATTTTGCTTGCCAATTTATTCAGAAAATATATCAGTATGAATGAAAAAATTAATTCATTTATATAGAAGATCTCTCAGTATTTTTTTCGCAATTAATGTATTAATTATTGTTTAATTATATCTATGAAATATTAATGCATTTAAGACATTCAATTCATCTTTCGTGTTGCGATAAGTTCTTACAAAATTTTACGTACTGTTCATTGTCAGACATCTATAATATAATATCTTAGTACTGTGTTTTTTTCCTTTTTTTATCAGCTCATTCAATTTACTGATGTAACTGTCTTACGATTAGTTATCTTAAATATTCTTTTATATTCTTATTATCATGTTGTTTTAAGTAAAATAGATTTGAGATAATATACATCTTTCATATTTCTCTTAACTATGTCGCAAGTAAGCGTTTATCTATTTAAACGAACCCGCTTCTGTTTTGTATACTTGTTCTCTATACACTTGTTAAACTATACAAAATACTTATTTTTTTCCAGTGTTCAATGTTTAAAATTGTTCAAATATTAAATACGATAATATTTATAAATTTCTCTAAATTAATTTCTAAAATATTTTATTATCTAAATAATTTATGTATAGGAAAATACACACAACATATATAATCTCCAAAGGAATAAGCTCTAAAGGTTTTTAACAATTATAATCGTTATTAAAAATGAATTATAAAAGTTAAACATTTTATTTTTAGATTTGATAATATCGCCAAAATAAATATTTAATAATAGATAACCGAGAATAAATATATATTTTCGAGTTTTACTATAATGTTCGATAAAAATATCAATCTATATAACAATCTATGTAATATTACCAAGTTAAATATACAACATACAAAATTGTCATTTTTCCACAAATGAAGTATCTCGAGTCAGAGAAATATATATCGGGCGACATAGGTATGTCTATGGTACTGAATTATCTCGAGCATCCCTAAAACTATGTACGAAACTCGTATACCGATCGGTCGATCTTGCGCACTATCCCCGCAGCGGAAGTATGCATTATGCTCATTAAAATCTGCAGGTCGTTTGAATGATTCGGCCGTTGTTGCGGCCGGCGCGCTGATCTAGAAAGCGCCGGCGTTTACCCACCGATTGTGATCCAATTGACCGCCGGCTTTCGTGGAACGATCGCTTTTGCTTGGATTTGCTCGTCTTTTTTTTCGTTGGCCACGACGATAGAATACGATTAGGAACAAGTGCGAATTTGACGTGGCCCGAGCGGTCAATGGGGTCAATTCTGTTTCCTGTCGCGCGTGTTCAATTACTTATCGAGTCCAATGGAACGAACATGCTCGCGATATGGTGAGCTGTTCGCGTGGCGGTAGCATGGAAACAATTATTTTATTGGCAGTTCGTGCAAACTCGACAAATTGATACCACGAGGACGAAGTCAGCGCCGGCTTTAGCTCGTGATTATTACATCACACACGTTCTCCACAAAATTTCATTCGGAAATTTAATTCGCATTTGCATCTAATACCATAATTGAGCAATCGGATTGAAGTTAATCAAAATAATCTCGACAAAATACATCAATTGCGGAAGTGTATTATTTCATTATATACGCTGCGTATAGTTATTTTATATATATATGTATAGAATTAGTTTTAATAATTACGATTTAACAATAATGATTGTTTTTGATATTAATACTTGAAGACTGTCATTAATATGTATGAAATTTTTTTTTATTTATTAAATAATATTTATAAGTACTATTATATATATAAACATGTAATTATACATATATTTTTATAATAACAGGCTTTTATTTTTAAAATCAGAATCAGCTAGAAAATAATTGAAAGAAATATTAGCTAAAATATTACTCAAAAGGAGTTCTTCTAAAATGTGAAAAATTGTTATTTTCCGGAATATTGTTTAAAATTAGCAATTTAAAGTAAGAATTATTATCTATATGTGTGTTGAGATGATTTATGAGCAAGGTTAATTGATGTCTTTATTTCATTGTTTGTTATGAAACAGTAGAATGAACGTGTAATTGCATTATTCTACAAAAGTTTTTTCCTAGATTAACTATAATTACTGGAGGAGAAATATTCCTGAATGAAAAAAAATAAATATCGTATACTTTGTATACTTTGTTTCAGGTTTACAAGCAGTGACAGCATCTGAGTGGGGATATTGGGGCAAATATGGTAATTAATTATAATAATTATAATAAAATGTTTACATTGCATTTTGCACATTTCCACGCATTTATAATTTATGATCGACATCAAAGAATTTTTCAATAAATAATGTATAAGATTGAGATAAAATATAATATTTTTCAAAAGTTAATCTTATCGAAAAGAGAAAGCATTAGCTTTAAATTGAAATAAAATAATAATTTTAAATTGAAGTAAATCATATTGTCAATATTGAGTCATTCGAGTTACAACGCTTTATCAGAAATATTAACAATGTATAATAAATTAGTCTTTTACTGCGATATATCTTGTAAAAATACATGCACACACATAAATCTCAATTATTATCAGTCGATGCTTATTTTTCAATAGTCTTTATCGATCGTATAAAAAAACCGATAATCATTTTAAATCTCCATTCTCGAAAAATTTTATTTACGAAAAACGAATAAATACGATAATTGCACTGTTCTCACTTAGCTTATGTGAAACTTACATGCAAGCCATTAGCGATTTAATAACGGCAACCTTGAATGTCAGTTAAAGATATTTAAAGAACAAAGTCAGTATTAAATTTCCTTTAATGAAACAAAGGGAATTCACATAAGCATCTATGATCTAAATAGAAAATTCAGATCTATATAAATTTTTTTTAAAAATCTTACATATTTATAGTTTAATATTATGTCTCTATTATGTTAAAAATTTTACAACATTTTAAATTTCCGTAGCATATATATAATATTTAATATAAATTATCAATATACATATATGAATATTTACTATAATAAATTTATTATTATATCGAGAATGCTTATTTAGCTATAATTGTGCTTATATTTTATTTATTGCAAGTGAACACTGACAATACTCATGAGTGTGCTAATTATTGCGCAAGTTAATGCGAAGATCTAAAGTAATTTTAGACTTACAGTAAAACTACAGATTATCTACTTTGTAAATGTTTAGACAACTCTAAACAAATGTTATCATTTAGATAATATATTTGAAGTAAATGTAAAATCGTTTTTTTTATTTCACATATTAACGTAATCTATAAAACAATCTCAAAAATCTTTTAACTGCTGTTTAATATGTTTATCTTATATTTATTTAGATATTATTATAATTTTATAACTAAGATATTAATAAAACTCTATATACGAAAAAACATAAATTATTATTTTAATTCTTTTTTTTATATCTTTTCTCTATTAAAAAGTGTTTCATTAAAGTCATTATTACTTCTCGTATCAAACTGTACTGTTTATTACAATGTAATTATAATATTTAGGTATTAATGAAAACTTCATAAAGTATGACATTATGTATTATGACTAAAATAGCACGTTCACACGTTCAACTGTAACGCTGCGTCAACTATCGTTAAAGTGTGTGTTTAAAAATGAAACATTTAATGATGTATCTTCTCTTGTAAATAATCGGAAAATATTGATTAAAATCCGTTTCAGATTTAAGAGATAAAAAGAATTTATTATGACTAAAAATAAAATAAAAGAACTTTTTTTAATTTCTCCAAATAATTAATCCATGGTTTTTATATAAAAATAAATTATATTTTCTTACAATTAAAAGTGCTTTTAATTTTATATTTAATTTAATATTTATGTACAATTTATTTTAATATACATATTATCAAGGATTGCAAAAATGTTAAGAAACTGTTTTTAGAAAATGACATAAGAACTGTGTATATGTGTAAATTATAATTCTCTTTTAGATCATAATAATAATACCGTATTAAATATCTTTATGATAATATTATATAATAGTTCTAAATTTTATTATGAATTTTTGTAAATAATTTCGCAGGACCAAAGACTTGGTCGGAATTGTGCGCGACAGGAAGAAGACAGTCACCGATCAATATTGTGACGGAGGATGCCATAAGAATTGATCTCGGTGCTCTCAAATTCGATCGATATGATTTCGCGTTTTCTGGCAAATTGATTAATAATGGACATACTAGTAAGTAAATTACAATATATTATTGTACATTTCAGTATCTTTGTTTTGTTAAACATGTATTTTTCAACTATTTTTTCTAGCTATTAGTATCACTGTATATTTATTATTTTTTTTATCATTTGTATTTGTTTTATTTTTAAATTTCTGTATTATGAATATTTAACATTACTTTTAGAAATGTTGTGTAATTTATGATTTTATTTGCATTGTGTTTAAATAAATAAAATATTAAATATTACAGATATAAAATAATTTTTACTTGAGATAAATCGAATTTAAAATAATAAAAAAGCATTAATATTTTAATCATTCTTTCACAAATTAAGTCAATTCTTATTATAATAAACGTAATGAAAAAAAAAATTTAATTTATTATTATTTATAAAAAAATCTTTTTATAGTACAAATTAAATTGGACGGTATACCAATCCATCTAAGCGGTGGAAGTTTGCCATCGGTATACGTTCTGGAGCAAATGCATTTTCATTGGAGCGCTGAGCATACTGTGGACGGTGTACGTGATCCATTGGAATTGCATTTGGTGCATTATAATAACCAGTACGCAAATTTTAGTGAAGCCATGCAACACGAGGATGGGATCGTCGTTGTAGCAGTTTTATTCGAAGTGGTAATAATATTGATTACATTTTTGTATATTTCTCATATTTATAATTTTTTTAAATATATATATTATAGATATTAATTGCGATATTCTATTATAGATCAACAATTCCGACAATCAGGATTTGATGCCAATTTTAGAGACGGTGAAATTAGTGTCGAATTGGGTGGGAAAGAACACGGCATCGATGAGAAACAAATTGATACCTTTATTGCTTCTACCGAAAGATCATACGACATATTATAGGTATGAAGGATCTTTGACCACGCCGGGATGTCAGGAATCTGTAACGTGGTTTGTTATGACCGAAAAACTTCCGATATCGGAGGCACAGGTGATTTGAGCATAAAATTGTCCAAAAAAATTAATTTAATAGACATGCAATTTTTTAAGAACTTGTATGAAATTATTTTTCTTTTATTTAAAATATTTTCTATTGAAATAATAATTATTTTAATGTCTAATATGTAATCGTGTGCACATGCAGATGAATATGTTCAAACATGTGCAGAGCAACAACGGCACTCTAAAGTACAATTACAGACCCACACAAGAGCTCGGCAATAGAAAGGTGCATCATCGTCTAGAAGGATATAATAGCACGTCGTCCTTATATACCTCGAATATAATTTTAGTTGTCAATATTTTTCTAGTCAGCCTTTTATATAAGAATTTTTAATCTGGAATAGTAAAGCTGAACTTTATGTTACAATATATGTAATGTGCGATATAACAACTGCGTGATATTATTTGTTATATACATTGTTTTAGAAGAAAGAAAAGATGTGTATTTATTATAATGAATGTTGTATAACTGCATTATTTCTAAAATGATGTGTTAGAAGCTCTGAAAATATTATTATTATAATATGTATATTTAAAAAGATACAAACTTTATGAATAATGAAAATAATCTTTTCCGAAGTAATATAATAATATTGATCAAATGTTTGCAATAGTAAAAAATTTATAAAATTTTCATAGTCTTTTTCGACGTAATGGACTCGAATTTCCATGTTAATTATGTATTAATTTGCGTGCAAGGAAACGTTTTTATATAAACATATTCAATTTTGTAATAATGATATATATTACTATTTAATATAAATAATACGTATGTTTCTAACGTATCTAATCGTAAGAAAGCATTAAGATGTTAATAATAATAAATAATTATTCGATTGATTAATCAATTGAAATGATGACAAAAAACAAAAGTGATAAATAAAACAAAATTTTTATAATAAAAACATTCTCTTATTTGTAGAAAAGTAAATTGTATTACATCAAATAACATTAATTTATAATATATATTAATATCAATATTAATAATTAATATTAATATTAATATATTAATTTTTTTTAAAAGTCGTAGACTTTTTACTTAATATAAGATTAAAAAACAAAGTTGCAAAAATTATTAATTTTTTATTTGATATCTCTTCCAAAGCAATTTTAAATTAATTCAATGTAAAAATTAAATTTTTATACTCGATATGCAAAAATTTTTTTCTTTCTAATATTAAATTGTGAAGAAATTAAAAGTAATTTTTTATAAGAAAATAACTTTAGATTTTTAAATAAGAATATTAAAAAATCAAAATTTTTATTAAAATATTTACTTATTAAAATCGTTCATTAAAAAAAAGCTTACCGAGAGTGTATAATCGATCTGTAATTAATTAAAATGTATTTGTTAATCAATTCATAGTTAACGTTGCTCCATAATATTAAAAAAAAAATTATATCAATAAACTATAACTATAACAATATTTACTCATTGCATATTAAGTTCATGATAGATATATTTCAGATAGTTTTGACAAATCACGAATGACAAATTTGTTCTATAGCCTTAAATTTCGGCTTTTACAATGTTCGATGGAAAGCCATAAGATAATTGCTATCTCCAATGTAGGGAAGTAGCGCAAGAAATTTCATGATCTCGTCTATATTTTCAATAAACAGAATAAAAAATAAAGTGCCATAGTAAGTGAATTATCGATCAGTATAAATTCTTTGCTCCCTTATAATAAAACATAAAATCCTAAACATTAACTGTTCGAAGATATCTTGCTTTATCTATTTTATGAGAATATTTAAGTTTCGTAGTATCTCACACAATGATTAAAGACTAAAAAAAAATGTCGTTCATTGCAGGACAACGCATGACAGCGCATTATATATTAATAATTACCAAACAGAAGAATGGCAAATTCTTTTAAACTTCTGAATGTTATAGAAGGAAAAAATCAATTTCTACTTACAAAGAAAAAAAAAAGAATAATTAAGGAAGAGATATACATACAAAAAATGAGACAGAAATAATAATCGAAATCATAATTCTCGTATGCTATATTTGCCAAGTTAGTTTCGATTCAGCACGAACAGAAAACATGTCAGGAGTAAATTTTCAAAACGTGAATTTTTTAAATAATGGAGCAAATATCATCTCGGGAAATTTATTACCGATGACAGATGATAATTCGTTTTCAATATTTTGCCGTATATATAGAGCCTTCGTCTGGTCAATAGAAGTGATTAATGCGATCTCATTAATCATCGGAATGACCGTAGTTCCAAAAGAAAAGACTTTCATAGATGGTATTATCTCCATCGTTGTCATAATGGAAACATCTTTCTTACTTGCGAGTATTTACACGCAGCAAAAGTTAACAATACAAGTGGTCCGGAAAATGAACGAAATCCTGCGAAATGCGGATATGATCATGGTGGACCTCGTGAAAGCAGCATTGAAACCAATTATTTTGCCATTTATAATTTATGGGGTGGCCAGTGTGATATCTGTCATTATATGGACTCTACATCCGATTATATTGATTTTTGAAAAGAGAGATACATTTTATTTCGAGGATTACAATTCGCCAGCATTTTTCAGTCCCGAACCGTTTTCAGTACACATTCTAATTTTGTCGACTGTCATTATGACAACGGGCACTCTCTATTTATTCTTAAGGAAATACAGTTTGGACGTATACATGATGCATCTGGTGTTGATGTTAACTGCACAATATCGATACACCGCGATAAAACTGACATTATTATTTCAGAAACCACAAGACGACAATAAAAACTCTCAAAAAAAGTGTCATCCTATGACAGATCAATGGGCGGAAAAGGAACTGAGAGCGTTATGTCAGCATCAAAACAATGTTTTGTTGTATGTGTTTTTAATATAATTATTTAAAAAAATAGAATACAATTATTAAGTAATAAAAAAATAATTTTGAGAGAATGCTTTATTTATAGAGTTATAATTAAATAACAATGCTTTTAATAAAATACTACAAAAAATTATAAAAATTATAATATTAAAATTTTATTTTCCATATTTCAATTTTTATAATAATCCTATAATTTTTTATAAATTTTAATATTTGATAAAATTCAATAAATTCATTGTTTTGTCATTTATGTTTTGTTTTTATTTATTATGTAATATAATATTTGATACATTCTATGTATATATTTTACATTCTGTTACAGCATATCAATTATGTTAAGGAAACTTCTGTCGATGAACTTCAGTCTATTGTATCTTAATAGTGTTTTCCGCTTCTGCTTTTTAGGTATCTTAATGACCAAAGTAGGTAACGAACATTGATAGAATTCAGAAAAAAAATAAAAAATAGAAATTAATTATTTAAAAAATTATGTTGTATTTAATAATAATTTTTATCTATTAACAAATCATGTTTTGTATTTGCTGTTTTTTTTTTATTTCCTTTAAGAAATTAACATTTGTGTTGCATGAATATATAAAAAAAGAACTATATATATATATATATATATATATATATATATATATATATAAAATCTTCTTTCTTATGATTTCTTTTTTAATTAAATTAAAATCAAAGAATTTATTTTTTACCTTATTATGTATTATTTTCAGATAAAAGTGTGATAAATAAAATAATTGCATTTGTAATTCAATTCTGAAATAAAAAAATATAAACAATTTATTTAAATTTATATATTCAAGAAATGTTTTAAGAGAATTGTATAATTCCCTTTTATTTCCAATTTTTTAACAAAATGTATTTATAAATTTTTAGATACCATCTTTAACATTCATGGAGGGAATCTCGATTGTTTTATTCGCAGCTGGTTCAATAATGCAATTCTTTCTGTTATGTTCTTCTGTCCAGACATTATCAGACGCGGTAAGATTTATATTATTACAATTATTTTTCCTTCATACAAGCAATAATATTAATATCAAGGAGCAATTTGTTAAATTTTATCTATATTTTACAATATTGCTACAAATTTTTTTTGTTATATTTTTGTTTATTAAAAAAGTTAAAGTGCGAAAATATGAATAATTAATTATCAATAAACAAAAAAGAGATATTCGTGTGCAAGCGGGCATAACTTTGTTTATTTATGAAAATGATTATAAAATATAACAAAATTAAATAAAAAATAATATATACTAATAACTTTCTCTTTTTTTACATATCACTTTTTGTATTAAATATATTTGTAACAGAGTACCGAAGTGACGGATAAAGCATTTGATGAAGGCTGGTATCAACTTAAATCATCGATACAACGTACATTTATATTACTAATATTGGCTAATAATTTGGAATGTAAAATCGCGGCAATTGATAAGTTCAATCTGTCTCTGCCCTCATTTATGACGGTAAATTCTAATATACTTTATATAACATTTGAAATTTCTTATATCACATTTTTTATGATAATATTTTAGATTATGAATCAATCATATTCAATCGCTCTTTTGTTTTTAAAAGCAAAATAAAACAAAAAAAAGCATTGTGCACATAGAAATGTATTAGAGAGAATAGAATAGAGAGAACAAATCAAAGACAAAAAAACAGTTAAGCAAAAATATTTCAAAAGAAATCTGTAAAGATAGATATATATGTTTTGCATGATAATTCAAGAAATATAAATATAACAAAAATGTTTTAAAATTGTTGTAAAATTGTTTTAAATATAATAATATAATATTAAGTAATTTAATCTTTGTTTTTTATTAATATTTTCTTTATTATTTTATAAATTGGAAATAAAAGATTATATCGTCATGTTTTTATGTCATAATATTTGTACTATTATTATTCTCTCGAATAAGAAAAATATTAGTATATATGATTAAATATATTTTTATACTATCAAGAGTAAAATATATGAAAAAAATATAATATTCTGTACATATGGTAATGTTTTTCTATTAAAATCAATCATGAAGAAGAATAACAATTTGGTTAAATTTGATAGCTGTCTATGAAACTTTCAAATTATGATAAAGAATTTTACGGAATGCATTAAACAAATGATGCAAACAATAATAAAAATATTAAATATAAATAATAGTAATTGTAAAGAAATCTATATAAAAATCTATATCCTATCCAATAATCAGCGATCATTCATTAAGAATATTATTATAGTATGTACATATTATTACATGGCTGATCCAAATTAGCAGGTTTTAGAATCACAGTCTATTTACAACAATCATTTTATTTAAAAATCTTTGTACTGACAATGAAAAATCTTATGAAATGTATCGCTAGTGAGTACACATTTATGAAGAAGATCATCCTGAATGTATATATAATAACTTCATTATTGACAATAACACATTATTGTTACGATAAAATTGCTGTATTTCATAAAAATAATTCTACCAACAAAACTCAATCTTCTAATATAATTCATCGAAACCATAAGTCATTCTAATATAATTCATCGAAAGCATAAGTCAAAAATATAAGTGTTTTATCGAAATTATAGTGGTTCAAAAAGTAAGCAGTAAGCGTTGCTAATTTCGCAATTTGCTATTTAACTATTATTTTTAGATCATTTATCAAAGAAAAAAAACTTACTATAATGATTAATCAGTGCTTAATAGATAGAATTCATTAATTGCTCCATAATTAAGTTTGTCACAAAACATTTTGTGAAAGTTTGTCCGTGATAAATTTTTGCCCAATCTTTGCAAATTAAATTATTTTTTAATTAACAATGCACGCGTCAGTCAAACATGTCAAATTGTTCTGCGACTTCTCTGAATTCTAGCAATTCTGCAATATTCGACAGAATGCCATAAGATAATTACTACTTTACAATATAAGGTAGTAGTATAAGGAATTTAATCATCACATCTATATTCTTAGTAAATGGAGTGAAAGATGTACAGCACATTCAATGAATTATCACTTAGTACATCGCGACATTTAATTATAAACTACTACGTTTCCTTGTAATAAGACACAGAATCACTTAAAATTATTATCTATTCCTTGGAGAATATTTAAATTCTAAAATATCCACACAGTGAGATTACAAATCGAGCGATGGAACAATACAAGAGAAATGTCATTGTTCGTCGTATGACTATAATATATTAATAATAGCCGGGCAGAAACAAAAGTTCAAGAAGAATGATAATTTTCTTACTGTATGTAGATGTAATTTTGAAATACCGATAGAGATATCATTTATTGTCACTCGCCCAAGAAGAAGCGTACGTGGAGACAGTGATTAATGCAAGTACAAAAATCTTGATTTTTATACATTAGATTTACTAAGGCAGTTCCAATTCATCGAATAGTACAGCATGAGAAGAATAAATTTTCAAAATGTGAATATTTTAAACAATCGAGCGAACATGCTTTCGGGGAATCTGTTTCTTGTAGCAGCCGATAGTTTGCGATTTCCATTACTGTGGCGCATACATAGCGCCGTCGTCTGGTTAATTCAGCTGATTTACACGATCGCGTTACTCACTGGAATAATTGTGACACCAAAAGAAAAAGCCTTGAAAGACGGTACTGTTGCCGTTGTCGTCATCATCGAGTCGTGTTTTTTGCTCACGCGTATTTACGTAAACAAAAAATTAATGCTATCACTGATCCAGAAAATGGACGACCTCTTGCAAACTACGGATGACATTATGGAGGATATTGTGAAGACTACTCTGAAACCAATAATAATGCCATTCGTAATTTATGGAGCAGCTGGTATAATATCTATTACTATATGGACGTCACAACCGATTTTATTGGCTTTCGAAAAGACTACTTTTTTTTATGTAGATTATAACTTACCAGCCGCTTTTAGTCCCGAACCGTTCTCAATCGGTGTCCTGATTTTTTCAATTGTCTTTATGACAATTGCCAGTGTGTATAGCTTTTTGAAGAAATACAGCGTGGACATATACATGATACACCTGGTGTTGATGTTAACTGCACAATATCGATATATAGCGATAAAATTATCATTATTATTTCAAGATTCAAAAAATCGCAACGAATCTCGAACAGGACATCATTCTATGACAGATCGATGGGCAAAAAAAGAGCTAAGAGCGTTATGTCGGCATCAAAATACTGTTTTACAGTAAGTATAATAGAAAAAAACATTTTTAAGATATTTTATTTATAAAATCGGAATGGGATATATATGCTTTTAAAATATGCGTAAAATGATAAATCGCAACATTACTTAAATTTTATGTGATCTTGTGTATATTTTGTCATATTTCTAATGTCTAATATAGAGAATAATTTATTACTTTATGATTTACATTTTATATATATATATTAATTTAATATTATATTAAATATTTTGTATATTTTATATATGCATTCCACGTTATGTTTCAGCATATCATTTTTATTAAGAAAACTTCTGTCTGTAAACTTCAGTCTATTATATATCAACAGCGTCTTTCGGTTTTGCTTTATAGGTATTCTAATGAGTTCAGTGAGTATCGATAGCAAACATTAAAACTCGAAGAGAATAAAGAATAAAAATGCTCTAAATATTGCTCTAAAGAATGCTCTAAAGAAATGCTCTAAAGAAAAGTGCTCTAAATATTTAGTAATAATTTTATATCTATATTAAATAATTATGCTTTGTATTAGATTCTATTTGAAAAATTAATATTTACTTTAATAAATAAAAAAACACAATTTTTATATTTTCTAATATTGTTTCATATTAAATTGCGACTGCAAATTTTATTTTTTATTATGTATTATTTTAAAGTAACAGTACAAGTATTCCATTTAAAATTTAATTCTGAAATAAAAAGAGCAATGCAATAAGTTTAAATAATTTATTTAATTTTGCATAAATAGGAAATTTTTTATTGAGAAAATGAGAAATGTGAAAAAAGATTGTTTCTGTATTCTTTATTTAATTTTCTAACAAAGTGTACTTATTAATTTTTAGGTACCATATATGACATTCATGGAGGGAATTTCGGTCTTATCGTTTACAATGGGTTCAATAATGCAGTTCTTTTTGTTATGTTCTTCCGTGCAAACATTATCAGATGCGGTAAGAGATTTATTTACATATTAAAATTATTTTGTCTTGTATAAGAATATTTTAATAATAAAATTAATCAAGCATAATAAAATTAATTAAATATTATGTATACTAATATTAGAATGCAGTATTTGTTATATATTTATTTATTAAAAAAATTTTTAACCTAATGTAAAGAGTATCAAAGTGACGGATAAAGCATTTGATGAAGCCTGGTATCAATTTGGATCATCAATGAAACGTACATTCCTATTACTGATAATGGCTAACAATTTAGAATGCAAAATTGCAGCAATTGATAAATTCAATTTGTCTCTGCCTTCATTTATGACGGTAAATTTTAACATATATGTTTATTATTAATAATACATTTTATGAAATTATTAGTATTTTAATTCTCTTACATTTCTTGATAATATTCTAGATTATGAATCAATCATATTCAATTGCTCTTTTATTTTTAAGAGCAAATTGAAATAAAAAATACATCGCGCTGGTAAACAGAAGATAAGATAGAGAATGGTTATCAAAGATAAAAACAAAATTAAGAAAAATTATTTTAAAAGGAATCTGTACAAATCCGTTTTGTACAATAGTGTAGAGAATATAGGTGTAATAAACATAATATTCAAAGATGTTTAAAATTATGGTAATATTAAAAAAGAAAGAAATTTAACTTTTGTCTTCTATTAACTTTTCTTTTTCTTATCTTTTCTTAAATTGGAAAATAAACATACTACACTTGGAGGTAATTTGTTATGTTTGCAATATTTATAATACTTATTCTCTTCAGTGAAGAAAATATAAGCATATGTGTAATTCAAATATGTGATTGATTTTAATAATATTATCTTCATATATTAATCATCGCATATTATTGCGACAAATATATATTTGCAAATTCCTTTATTTCTTTTCTGCATTTTGAAACAGAACACAAGTAATATCTAAATTAATATTTATCTAAAGTTGAAATGAATTGTTGATAATAATTAATTCTATACATATATTTGCAAATTTTTACTCAATAAAAAAATTAAAAATTATTAAAATCTACAGAATGATACTTAAGAAAAAATATTAACTTTTAAAAATTTTAACTTTTAAGACAAAAATTTCGGTAGAAGTGCATTGTAGAATAAAATTTTATAAGAATTCTAGAGTTATTTTTACCTTCTACATGCACACAAGAGATAGTCTTTATTAGAAGATAGCTTTTACCATCTTTACCAGAACTTTTCCTGTATATAAAAATTAAAATCAATTATAAAATTTCAATCTGTAATATAAAAAAAAATTATCGTTATGAGTCAAAATTACTATAACGTTTCTATGCGCAACAATTTTGTTATTCATTACTTGAGCTTGTTTGCTATCTTAAGTTAAGAGTGGTTTTATTAAAATATATTGTCATTAAAAATATTAAAACTATTAAAAATATTAAAACATTAAAAATATCATGTTTGTGTCTTAATTTACTCAACGAATTAATCTTAACAGAAGATAGAATATTCAAAAACAGTAATAGAATATTGTATAAAAAAAGGAGAATTTTTTTTACCTTAAATATATCCTGCGATGACTATACAATCGTTTATTTCGTAATATTTTGCTAACGTTATTTAACTCATAATCGGTGTAAAATAACAACTGCAGTTTCCAGCTGATGCAGCTTACAATGGACAGCGCATTACACATCATAAACATATTAAAGCTTCCTCGCGATACTGCAAGAAACAGTATACTATAAGATAATTACCGCTTCGTTGCACAGAGGTAGTTGCAAAGGAATTAGTGATCACATCTATCTCGTACTAAATACATTAAAAAATATAACTCTACTTTCATTTTATCGTTCTGTATCATTATCTTCCGATGCACAATAATTGGAAGACAAAGATTAATAATTAGAATGAAGAAACTATTGCTGTTTTTGTAGTGTAATATATAATATGTAAAATAATGAATTGTTGGATATGTCATATGCTATTCAGCAATTTTGAAATATAGAATAAACAAGCCACTGTCTATCTACAAAAAAAAGAAGCATTTGCAGTGGCAGAATACGATAAAAGGCTTAATGTAAATACTAATCGATTCTTACAAGCTATGTTTGCCTATATAATTTCCATTTCTTAAAAGCAAGCGACAATCAAGAAGATGGACTTCCAAAACGTGAATCTTCTAAATGTTCGATTGAACATGTTCTCAGGCAATTTATTACCAATGACCAGCAATGATTTGTTGTTTCCTAAAACATGGAGAATATATAGCGTTGTTATATCGTTAATTGATTTGTTCTATATCAGCGCAATAATCTCCGGATTTATTTTGGTATTAAAATATGAATCTATAGAAAACACTGTGCAGGATGGCGTAACAATCAGTCTCGTGGTGACCATTGAGGTATTTGTTTTACTTATGCGTATGCACATATCCAGAGATTTAATAATTCGATTAATTCAAAAACTGAATGACATTCTACGCTTCGAGGATGAGACTATGAAGTATATCGTGCATTCGACTTTGGATCCAATGAAGATTCCTCTCCAATTTTACTGCATAGGAGGAGGTGGATCCGTAATAATGTGGTGTTGCATTCCGTTCGCACTGATCTCAAAGAAAACCTACTTTTTCTACAATGATTTTACAACGATAGCAGCCTTTTCGAAACAGCCGTTTTCTACAAAAATCTTCCTGCTTGGTGTTCTTATAGAATCTATTGCCAGCGGATACATATTTATTAAAAAAGTCGCTCTGGATGTCTATATGATAAATCTTATATTATTAACAACGGCACAATATCGATACATAGCGATAAAGCTCGCTAAAATATTTCGCAATGACACTTCACCGATTCAACACAATAAATCTCAAAAAGAACATTATTCTAATGCAAATTTGTCGTCGGAAAAAGAAATGAAAATATTATATCAACATTATGAAGCTGTGATTCAGTAAGTAATTAAGAGTTCTCTACTTTTACAAGTTGTTATTTTGTGCCTATTTGTTCTTGTGTCTAAATTTTTACTTCTAAATTGTATTCAATTTTCAAAATTAATTTTTTCTTTACATCCCCAATACTTAATTGTTTAATTGTCATTTTATAAATATTTATTATTTTTTTCAGGATAATGTTATTACTAAAAAAATGTCTGTCGTCAAACGTGAGCATGATATATCTTATTAGTGTCTTTCTTTTTTGTTTTATTGATGTCTTATTGGTACAGGCAGTAAGTTATATCTTAGAAATACTTTTTAAGCGATTGAAAATACAGAAACTTTTGATATATAAATTTTCGAATTTATTATGTATATTTCTTAATTATATTAACGATATAGAAAATATTAATTTTAGATATTATCGAAGGCTTTTTTCACAATATTCTTATTCATAATATATCTATGTGGTTCTTTAACACGACTTTATATTCTATGTCTATGCATTCATCAATTATTAGATGCGGTAAGTTTTATTAACATTATAACATAATTTCTCTCTATTTAACAACATTTATCATTTTTAAATAATATTGAAATTCTTGCAAAATTTATTTTTTGTATAATGAATATTAAATAATATATCGAAATGTTGAAATAATTATGCAATAATTATTTATATTTTTCAATTATATAATTGTAATTATATATATAATAATAATTAAAATTATATATTGAAATTATCATTGAATTAATATATGAATATTGTGTATGGAAGAGTGAAATCATTTATTATTTTTTATTAATATAGTTGTACTTATATGCACACATTTATTCTATATTAATCTGTGCCAAATTTAGAGTAGAGAAGTGACAGATAAAGCATTCCACGAAAAGTGGTATCAATTTGGACCGTCGGCGAAACACATGTTTATGTTAATGATAATTAGTATAAATTGGAAATTTGTTTTCAACGCTTGGAAATTATAATTTGACCCTTCTTCATTCATGAAAGTAAGTCTTAATATATTATTGTGTTAAATATATGTTATAATTAATTATTATAATTAACTATTTAAAATTACCAATTAAAATTAATATTAACTATAAATATTGACTATACCATGACTTAATATCGTAAATGAATTTCTTTCCATTGTCTAGTCTATCTTAATGCGATTTATATTTATTTCTTATATTTGTATCTTATACTATTTATATAATTTTTCAGCATATTTTAGATTTTTTTGACAAATTTTCAACTATTGTTCCAGATTCTGAATCAATCCTATTCAATCGCTCTTCTGTTTTTAAAAGTAAAGTGAAAATTAATAAATAATTAATAAACTTTAAATTCCTGGACTTATAGTGTTGGATATTGATTCTATATATTTGTCTAATTAGTAATTTAAATAACTATATGCATATGTTAAAATTTATATATTTTTTGTTTTAACAATGAAAAGATTTTATAAAGAAAGAATAAAGAAGTTTAATATAGATATAAACACGAATAGAAGATTGATATAGATATTAACGAAATATAAATGTTTTTTTATAAAATATGTACAAATTATTTATATCACCAAAAATCAACACTATTAATCTTAAAAATATCAATCACCAACTTTGCAAATTGATTACAAGAATATCAAGTGAATGAAAAACGTTAAGAACATATAAATTTTCAAAATATGAATTTTAATATAATCAAGTAAACATACCTTCTCTTCAATTAATACTGATAACATTTGAAGTCGATTCCGATTAGCAGATATTCATCTTGCACTGTTCTATACCATGGCATTAATACTTGAGCTTATATGTATTGTTATTGAAGGAAAAATATTGAAGAACAGGATCATCATCATCATGGTCATCAGAGTTATATCTATTTTAATGATAAAAAAATTTACTACAACTGCTGTGATCAAAACGAAATATTTCGAAATATTTTTTAGTAATATATACATACATTTTTTAAAAATATTATTTGATGATATCAGCACTATTGAATCCACATTATAACTAATCGAAGATTAATTTTTAGTATCTCGATCAACAGTGTATCACATAGAATAAAATATTGCAGTGCCTTCTGAATTCGAAACTACAATGAAGGTTGCTATAAGATAATTAATGCTTTATAGAACAAGAATAATTACAAAGGCTCTTAGTCCACTCCCTCAGTCTTGTCCACTCTCTCTAAGATTAAAAAGATCATAACATATCATAATCTTCTCAGAAAAGATTATACAGTAAAGATTATTCATAAATTCTTTTATTTCTTTAGAATAGAATCTGTAAGCAAGAACTTGCTATTAATGAAAATTGAAGGAAAATTGATTTATCGCGCACTCATTGTAGCGCAAAAGTCAATAATTTTTACAAATTAAAAACAATGTTGCTGTGCATGTTTTATGATAATGCATATTATAGTATAAGCTATATGAATAAGTAAAAACTCAAGAAAAATATCGTTCAAGATTGACGATTGCTTAGAACTAACTTTCGTTATATTTTATGTATTCTTCTGACAAGATATTATGCTTAATAATGGACAGATCTCAAACGGAGGTAAATACAAATATACAATTAAACAAATTTATGCACTAAAAGCAATTGTTACTTTTTAACTAAATATATTTTTAGTTTAAATAATATCTTAAAATATAAATTTCCTCAATATACACGTATAACAAAGAGAAAAATATTAAAAAGGACTTTGGCAAGCTGTACTTTGCACACCGTATCACCTCCTCAAGGAACAACGGCATGAATTTTCAAAATGTAAATCCTCTAAATGTTCAATTAAATATGCTCTCAGGCAATTTGTTACCAATGACTAACAACGATTCCACGTTTCCTGCCGTGTGGAGAATATATAGTACTATAATATGGCTGATTGAAGTGATCCAAACCAGTGCAATAATTCCTGGCATCATGTTCGTGCCCAAAGATAAGGTTTTGCAAGACGCAACAGTTGGTCTCGTTGTCACCATAGAAGTAATTTTTTTGCTTAGACGAATGCATGTACACAGATCGCTTGTAAGTCAACTAATACGCAAGTTAAATGATATTCTCTGCATCGAGAACGAGACCATGAAGATTATCGTTAAATCAACTATAAAGCCGGTAGAAACTCCGCTCAAGTTTTACTGCATAGCAGGAACTGGATCTATAACAGTGTGGTGTTGTCTATCTTTTGCATTGATTTTCAAGAAAAAATATTTTCTCTATGAGGATTATAGATTACCAATTGTCCTGTCGAGACAGCCGTTCTCGATAGAAATCTTCCTCTTGGGAAACTTCATCGCGTCCATCGCTAGCGTGTACATGTTTATAAAGAAGGTCGCTTTGGACATTTATATGATAAATCTCATTTTATTGATAACTGCCCAATATCGCTACATCGCGGTGAAACTTGCAGTACTATTTGGCGAAGGGATTTCACAGAATGAGTCTAAGAAAAAAAATACTTTTTCTGAAGATGCGTTAAAGAGAGAATTAAAAGTATTATGTCGACATCATAACGCTGTGATTCAGTAAGTAATCAGTGAACATTCTGTAATTTATTTTTTTATAAAAATGTTGTTTCACATATTTTTAAAATTATTCTTTCTTAATTAATATCATTATTAAAAGATAATTGTTTAATGTTTGATAAACATCTATAAGAGAGTCATCATATCATCACGTATGATTTTAAATATATATCTTATCATCTTATCTATACATATAATCAAATATAAATTTAATTTAATCTTTTTTAGAATGACTTTAATGCTAAAAGAAGTATTATCTGTAAATATGAGTTTATTATATTTGACAAATATTTTCCTTTTTTGCTTTCTCAATATCATGCTTATAAGTGCGGTAAGTAAATAATAACAATTAATTATTTTAGAAATGCTTTTTAAACGATTATAAGGAATACACGGTAAAAACATTTCTGTTAAAATTTTCTCGTGTAAAATTTTTGTGTTCAATTTTTGTGTTAAATTTTTAACATACTCTTATGTTAATGTAACATATTATCATGGCGTTATTTTGACATTTCTGCATTGAGTTAATATTCACTGTTTCTAAGAGTTAAAACAACACAATTAATATGTAAATGCACGAATTCTTGATGAAATATCTAATATGTTAAAATGAACAAATAAGTTGTGTTATTTTTCTCTCTATAACAATTTCCATATGTTAAATATACATATCTCTTCTGTTATTTATCATAAAAATGTAAGAATAACATTTTCTTTTAATTAAATTTAACATTATAAATATATTAATTTAACATAAATTTCATTTCCAGATAAAGTTTAAGTGTTACACTTTTGTGTTAATTTTTAAACATATTACTTGTGTTATTTATTTACATACTTGCCATCTGTTAAATTAACATTAAAATTAGAGTGGATAAATTGGGATATGTTAAATTTAACACCAAATTTTTTACTGTGTGTGTATGTAACGTTATTGAATTATTAAGAATATTTTTTACCAATATAATATATATATATATATATTTTAATACACAAAAAAATATTTAAAAAAATAGTTGAATACATGTAAAAACTTTGTTAGGTATTATCAAAAGCTCCTTTAGAAACATGTATGGTCATCATGTATATATGCGGCGGATTAGTACAGCTTTATATTCTATGCTTGTGCGTTCACCAATTATTAGATGCAGTAAGTTTTATTGAAAAATCACATCTTTTTTTACATAATTTAAATATAGAACTTAAAATAATGATTGTATAAAAAGAAGAAAACTATTACTCATTTCTAACAATTGAAAATGGAAGATATCAGCAAGATAAATAAATAAATATAATATATATAAATAAATATAATATAAAAATATATACATATATAACGAAAAATAAAGTCTTGTGATTGATAACTGGGTTTTTTTATGTATCTTTTATGTATTTTTGTTTTAAATTTAGAGTACAGAACTAACAGAAAAAGCATTTCATGGAAAGTGGTATCAATTTGAACCATCACTGAAATATATATTTATGATGATGATAATATCCAATAATTTAGAGTGCAAACTTTCAACTTCTGAAAAATTTAATTTATCTCTTCCTTCTTTCATGACGGTAATATTTATAAAATGTATATTGTGAATACGTTAGACATACCGACATTTAATTATTTTTATTAAGTTTATAATAATTTACTTAAATTTTAATTCTATTTTTGACAATATTATTATTATTTTAACTTATTTCCTTTTTTTATTTCTTTAGATTTTAAATCAATCGTATTCGTTTGCTCTTCTATTTTTAAGAATAAAATAAAAATTTATAAGGTACGTCTTTTATTTTAAATATATTATGCCATAACCTTTTTATTTTTAAAATTATTGCTACTTAATAATCGTGTAAAATTTTTATAATTTATGTATTATATATGTTATATAATTTTATTACATAATTTTAATAACTATTATATAAATTATATAAATTATAAAATTTTATTACATAATTTTATAATTATATCTTATATATGTTTATATATAACAAAATAATTATTATATTTATGTTGCTAAAAGCATCTAATATTTATATTTTTTTTAGAACAGAAGATAAGAGATATATAGCAGAAGAAAATAAAAAAGTTAATTAGGAAAAATATACAACATGCATTTTTGCTACTTATTTGCATTAAATTAAATTATATTTCTTTCTCTATTTCTCTCTCTCTCTCATAAAGGCATATTATATCAATATTCGAAGTGTATTGTTGTCTTCTTTCCGTAATGCATATTGGCTGTTGATATAAATAATATTCAGTTATCAATGATTTTGTTAAAAGGATCTTTAGTCTTTTTATGTATGTGCATCCAGTAAAATAACACAATATATTTTGCGCAACAGTTATTGAATATAATAAACATTATTATAACATATATTATTTTTTATCCTCTTAGATGCCGACTTGCAAATTTTCTAGAAATTATTTATCAGAATCGATTTATTATCCATAGATATGTGAAAAGTTGCTTATAAATGCCTATATAAAACTATTATACATTCAATCGACAAACTCTAATGAATAAATTCATAGATTTATTTACAGTAAATATTTTGCCGTTTTCCATTGTTTAAGCACTCTAATTTTTTGGTGAAATGATGACATTTAGTAGTCCTTTGCAGTTTTGTGATGTGTATATAGTCTACAATTACAAGAAAATCATTAGTTCTACTCATTTCTATAATAAATATAATGAAATATTTTGGTCTTCATTTTTTTACATCGTAGCACTTATTTATTAACTTTTACATAGTAGACAAAATACTATAAGATAATGATTCAGAAAAGCATATAGTCTACAATTACAAGAAAATCAATAGTCCTACTCATCTCTATAATAAATATAATGAAATATTATTTCTTCATTTCTTTACATTGTAACACTTATTTATTAACTTTTACATAGTAGATAATAGAAAATTCTGTATCCTTTGTCTGGAATCTCCTTACATATTTATATGATATTCAAGTATACAATAATTACAGAATAAACCTGATAATTATAATGAAAAGAGCGAAATGTCATCGTTTGGCGTTGACATCTATCTTGAATAGTAATTCAAGAGGAAAACACAGTTCTTTTGAAGTTGAAAAGGTGGATAGGACATATGCACTTGACAAGGCAATATGAAATTTATTTTAATTATTTGACTCATACATTCTGTTTTACAGATCCCTATTTGCTAGAAAAGCGATATAGATAATATATGGATTTTCAAAACGTGAATCCCCTCAACATTCTGTTGAACGCCGTCTCAGGCAATCTGTTACCGATGACTACTGACAATTCATCTTTCTCTATAGTATGGAAAATGTACAGCGCTTTAGTGTGGTTGCTCGAAATAACTCAAATGTGCGTTCTAATTCCTGGTTGCTTTATTCTGCCGAAAGAGAAAACTCTAAAAGATGGCTTGATTGGTATTGCGGTTACCATGGAAGTGGTCTACACAGTCATGCGAATTCATACCCGTAAGGCACTAGTGCAACGATTGATTCAGAAACTGAACAACATCATGCGCGTGAAGGATGAGCTGATGAGGAGTACGGTGATGGAGACGCTGAAACCGATAGAAATTCCTCTCACATTTTATTGGATGGCAGGTTTGGTGTCCATAATCATGTGGACCACCGCGCCGTTTACATTGGTTTTTCAAAAAAATTCTTTCGTTTATATGGATTACAAAATGCCAGTCGTATTTTCCAAAGAGCCATTCTCGACTAGCATTTTTGTATTCGGAAGTCTCGTTGTAATGCTCAGCAGTATGTACATCTTTACGAAGAAAGTCAGTGTGGACAGCTACATAATAAATATGATATTGTTGATCACGGCACAATATAAATATATCGCTTTGAAACTCTCAATGATATTCCAAGACGTAAGATTGCAAAGTAATTGCAACAGTTCTAATGAAAAAAAGGATTATCCTGAGACAAATTTTTGCGCGAAAGAAAAGATCAAATTTATATGCCAGCATTATAATGCTGTTTTTCAGTAAGATTATTTACCAAATATCATTAGGAAAATCATAAATTATATGTATATTATATAATTATATGTATAATTATATGTGTATTATAAAAAATTTATTTTATATAAATTTACCATTTTAGTCTTTAAATTTAAAATTTAAATTCAGCAAAAAACTTAATAATCTTATTAAATTATAAATAAGTCTGTATGTGTAAAGTGTGTATGTATAAAATATTTTATGAGATAATTGTACAATTAATGATGTGATTAATTTTTTGAATTCTCGTTTAAAGTAATGTTAAGTGTTTTTTATTATATCTTTTTTTTATAAAATAATCTTTAATCTAATAATCTTAATATATTGTGTTTTAGCGTTACGTTAATGTTAAGAGAACTGTTAGCCGTAAGCATCAGTATAATATATTTAAACAGCGTTTTTCGATTTTGCTGCATCGCTATTATGGTGATCTCAGTAAGTAGAAATTTTTAATATTAATTATTCTAAACAATACTTGCTAGTATATGCTACTTTATCTTACATTATAAGTAATTATCAATAATAGGAAATCATTAATCCTTATTATTTTTCTTCATGCAATTTCAGATACCATCAAGCGATTCAATTGAACGAGCCGTATTTATCATGTACGCTTCCGGTGGAGTAGTACAACTCTATATATTGTGTTCTTGTGTGCAACAATTATTAGATGCGGTAAGCATGATTGGATGTGGCAAACTCTATAAATTTTAATATAATTGAAAAATTGTAACAAAAATACATTATTATATAGAAATTATTATATTTCCTCTAAAATTTAGAGCAATGAAATAACGGATCAAGCATTTCATGAGCCATGGTATCGATTTGAAGGATCTATAAAACGAACATTTATGTTTCTGATAATGGCTAATAATTTAGAACTTAAACTCTCAATGTTTAAAAGATATAATATATCTCTGGCTTCATTCATGACAGTGAGTTGTAATTGCATTTTATAATTTAGTTTTTTGTTTAGTATTTTAAAATATATTTCGTATGTATATATTCGAATAATATTTCTAGATCTTAAATCAATCATATTCAATCGCACTTATATTATTAAGAACTAATTGAAAAGTGATGAGCTTTATGTAAATTTTATATACAGTAAGTGTATTACTTTTTATTTTATACAAACAAAATATACATACATACACTCACACAATATATATATATATATATATATATATATATATATACATATATGTATATATATTAAAAAATAAGATTAATTTTACATTTTTCTAAAATATATAATAATTGTTTCAGAATAAAAACAATATGTTAAAAATATATTGAAACTAATAATTTAATAATTATAAAATGTATAACAAATAAATTATATGTAATAACTATTAAATTATAAAATGTAAGTATCGATGTTAGTGAAATATAGACTGTGATGAAAATATTATAAGTAATAATAATTTTAAATAGTTACGATTATATAAAACAAAATTTACGACAATAGAACAATAATAAATGTAGTTGAGTTAATAACTGCATTTAATTTTGTATCGAATATAGTAAAGTTTTCTGCAATAGATAGATTTCTATATTGAATGAAAATAAGTTGTAATTATCATAAATTATTTTAACGATAATTAGATAAGATACGATTATCATTACTAAGATTATTAGTATCAGCACAATAATAATAATAATAACTATAAAAATAAAAATATAAATTATAATTTTTTATTATATAATTATAGTTGATTTTTTTCTCAATGCATGATTGTGAATTGTTATATTTTTTCATTAATTCTTTTATATTCGTACATTTAATATGTACAAAGTCTTCATAGATATTCGTACACTTAAAAGTTCTTCTGTTAAAAGTTCTTCTTTAAATATTTAGAGTCCTAATGTTCTCACAAATAATCCATTTATAGTGTAGCCAAGTAGTGATCATAACAGCAATTATCGATCATTAAAATGATGAAAGCATATTTCTGTTTTGTGTATATACTGTACATTATCACATAATGATAGCGTACATTAGTGAAAAACAACAGAAAATAAATTCAAGAAGGAAAATAAAATTGTTCAAAATGTAGCATGTATGTAAAGTTGTACTATTCCATTTCAAATGTTGCATGTATATATTCACAAAAAAAATTAGTGTGGATAGCTATATGATAAATATGATATTGTTAATAACAGCACAATATAAATACATCGCTTTAAAACTTTCAATGATATTTTATGATGAAATTCCGCAAATTAATCACAATAGTGTTAATCAAAATAACCATTATTTTAAAACAAATTATTATGCGGAGAAACAAATAATCTCTATATGTCGGTATCATAATGCGATTATTCGATAAATTTGTGAAGTTGGAAATTATCAATACATTATTAATCAAATATTTTTTTATTGAAATTCTTTAATTTAATCTTATAATGTTTCCTAATTAATAAGAAAAAATGATTTAAATTGTTAAATTTTATAAACAAAATAAATTTATAATATTTCCTTGTAATAAATAGATTATCTATCTAGGATCAGATAGATTTATTGTTATAATTATATCTGTGTGATATATTTAATATAATATTTTAATATATGTAACATTTTCTGTAGCGTCTATATAACGTTTTCTAATATATATAACATATACATATATATATATATATATATATATATATATTATAATATATATAACATGTATATAACGTGTAATATTTTGCGAATTTTGTTTCAGCATATCAATATTTAGTAAGCTTCTATCTTTAAATTTTAATTTAATATATATTATCAACGTTTTTCAATTTTGCAGCATAATTAATATGATAATTACAGTGAGTAATAGTTTTTGAAACTAATTAATTTAGAAATAAGATGCTTGCCAGACATAAGTAGACAATATAATGCTGATGCTTCTTATCGTTAATTATCAATTATAATATATTATCGTTTATTATGATTCTTTGCGTCTTCATCAAATTTCATATATCATCAAAAACTTTATAGGACGAGTTTGGTATCCTTACGTATGCAGTGGAATAGTACAACTTTATATTTTTTGTTCTTGTGTGCAACAACTATTAAATGCGATAATTACAGTAATGCGTACTTTCACATATAGATATTAAATAAGAAAAGGTAAAATATTATAAATAAAGAAATATAAATAATTAACAAAAAATGTAATATTTTACACGCGCGCGCGCGCGTATGTGTATTATTGTAATATTATTTGTCTATTTATATATTATATTATTTTTCATTAATTTAGAGTATGAAACTGACAGATCAAGCGTTTTACGAGGAATGATATGAATCCATCAAATTTAAATCTATAAAACATGTGGATGACAAAATTATGAGAACCACAATAATGAATACGATAAAACCGATAGAGATCCCTCTTAAATTTTATTGGACAGCCGGCACGATGTCCATAATTATATGGAGTAGTATACCATTTATGTTAATTTTCCAAAAAGATACCTTTTCCTATGTGGATTATAGAATGCCGGTCGTGTTTTCCAAAGAGCCATTTTCAATCAATATTTTTGTTTTGGGAAGTTTTGTCATAATGATCAGCAGCATGTATATTTTCACAAAGAAAGTCAGTGTGGATAGCTACGTAATAAATCTGATGTTGTTAATAACAGCACAATATAAATACATTGCTTTGAAACTCTCGATGATATTTCACGATAAAACTCCGCAAATTAATCATAATAATTTTAATCAAGAAAAACATTATTCTGAAACAAATTATTATGCAGAAAAACAGATACAATCTTTGTGTCATCATCATAATGCAGTTATTCAGTAAGTTATTAACTGCAAATTGTCAATATAATTAGATACTATTTTTGTGAAAATTGCTTAATTTAATGAAGATTTTATAATAATGTTTCCTAATCATTATAAAAAATACACTTAATTTTTATAAACAAACAAATAAATTTAAAATACTTTTTTGTAATATTTATCAATATAGATCTTTTTAATATATATCTTTTTAATATAATTATTATATTAAATTTAATATAAAATGTTAATTTTATTTTTGAAATAATATAATATATTGTGAATTCTGTTTTAGCGTATCGTTAATGCTGAGAAAACTGATATCTTTGAATTTTAGTTTAACATATATTATCAGTGTTTTTCGGTTTTGTTGCATAGCTATTATGATGATTTCAGTAAGTAATAATTTTTGATGTATTTATCAATCTCGAAATAATATGCTTGCTAGATATTGTTAGACAATATATATTGTGATATATTTTATCGTGAATTATAATATATCACTGTTATTCATATGTTCATAAAACTTCAGATACCATCGACAACTTTGTTGGAAGCATTTCTAATGATTATGTACGCGTCCGGTGGAGTAGTACAGCTTTACATATTCTGTTCTTGTGTGCAACAACTATTAGATGCGGTAATTATAATAATGCATATTTCACATAAAAATATTAAATACAAACCAAACTAGATAAAGAAATATAAACAATAAAGAAATATTATATATATATATATATATATATATATATATATACATATATGTGTGTGTGTGTGTGTGTGCATTACTTTCTCTATTTAATTTTTAAGAGTATTGAAATAACGGATCAAGCGTTTCACGAGGGATGGTACCAATTTAAATCTTCTATAAAACGAATGTTCATGTTTATGATAATGTCTAATAATTTAGAGCTAAAACTTTCAACATTTGAAAAATATAATTTGTCTCTACCCTCATTCATGGTGGTAAGTTTTTATGTATAATAAAATATTTTATTATTATTCTATTATGATATATCTTATTATTATTAATACATTTTCATTAGAGTATTTCCATTTTTCTCTATTTTAATTGCTTTAAATAATATTCTAGATCTTAAATCAATCTTATTCCATCGCGCTATTATTATTAAAAACTAATTGACAAACGAAGATATAGTTTATAGATTTTACACACAATAAATGTATATCTTATTATACCAAATAAAATATATAAAAATTTATTTAATTTGCTAAGATAAACTGTCATTATTGTAAAATTTGTGATTTTTTCACTACATAACAAATATTACATAGAGATAATGTTCTAAATAGTACAATAAAGTCTACTAAATAATGAAAAAATCCTTACTGTTTATAATAATGTAAAATTTTGTATTTATTACATAATTTATTTTTAAGTTTTATCTTACATTAAATAACAATTACACATTTTAATGATTAATAATAATAATAAAATAATTATATTTAATAACTTATATGAATAATTATATGTAATAACTTACATTATTACATTAGCACCATCTTATGTCCCCCTAGAAACCATACAACTTTTGTCTGAAACATCTTTTTCTAAAATTAAAAATAAGAAAGTTATACCAAAACATTGAACAGTAGTTATGCAGCATGTTGATATGTTATCATGTCAACATAAAGTTTTCTCATCGATGTATCATGCGTTAGAGATTAATAAATTTTATGCGTCTAGTAGACTGTTCGTGAGGGTCGCAGATATATACTATAAGATAATTATAGCTTTATAGAAACGTGAGAGAGATAGTCACAAATAAATTTATAGCCATATTTGTTCTTATACTGAATCTAGTACAATTTTCTACAATAAATCATTATCTACCACAACGTTTATATTTTTTCCTTTCAACAAACTCTATTATATTTATAGATTAATACATATAAAGTCCTCCTTATTTATCAAGTATTCAAAAAATTGTGTGTGATTAATGATTCACTATTAATGATTCACCTGCGATGTGCTCGAGCAGTAATAAAAGACTAATATCGATAGTAAAAATGAAAGAAGCATTTATTATACTTTATGCACATTGTCGTATAGTGATAGCATATAGTATATTGTAAAATGGGAAATATTTGGAGAAAATATGGAATTGTTGAAGTTATAGCAATAACTTTTAAATACTGTTAGAAATGCCAGATTAAACATTTCGATAGAAAGCGTCGACATAGGAGCATAAAGCAGGGTAAGTATATATACATATATGTATATGTTTATATATTTTTTTATCTAAAATGTAATATTGAAGTAACTTTTTTATGAAACTAATGTTATGATTTAAATTAAAGAAGTTGTCTTTCTCTAGTTATGAAAGTTTTAAATTAGAGAAAAATATATTACTAACCATATTAACTATGAGCTTATTGATTATAAATGATGAACAAAAATATAAGTCAGAAATATAAAAATTTTAAGAAATTGTCAAATAAACTTCAATAAGTCATTAATATGCTTCATTTAATACACAGTAAAAATACATAATCATGGAAAAGTCAATCAAAATTTTAATTAATGTCATATCTTCTATATCATATAGAATAAGACTTATCATAAAAGACAACAACGGATTAATGGATATCCAAAAAGTCAATCCTTTAAATGTTCGATTGAACATGATCTCAGGTAATCTTTTACCAATGACTGCTAAAAATTTATCGTTTCCAGTATTATGGAGGATATATAGCTTTCTAGTGTGGTCGCTCGCAATAGTTCAAACATGCATAACAATCCCCGGGTGCATGTACGTGCCGAAAGAGAAAGCTTTAAAAGATAGTTTAATCGCGATTGTAGTCACAATAGAGGTGGTTTTCCTGGTTGTACAAATTCATGCGCGTAGAGAATTGATGCAGCGATTAATTCAGAAATTGAATAATCTGTTACGGATAGAGGACAAGATGATGGAAAGTGTAGTAATGGAGACGCTGAAACCGATGATGACTCCCCTTAGATTTTACTGGATGGCTGGCATAGTATCCATAATTATATGGAGTGGTGTACCCTTTACGTTAATTTTTCGAAGAGATACCTTTTTCTACGTGGATTTCAGAATGCCAATTGCCTACACCAAAGAACCATTTTCCACCAGTATTTTTGTGATTGGAAGTTTTAGCATTATGATCAGTAGCATGTATACTTTTACAAGAAAAGTCAGCGTGGATAGCTACATGATAAATTTGATATTGTTAATAACGGCACAATATAAATATATTGCTTTAAAACTTTCGATGATATTTGACGATGATATTTCGCAGACTAATCACGACAGTTCTAATAAAAGGAAACATTATTCTAAAAATTATTATACGGAAAAACAGATGAAATCTTTATGTCAACATCATAACGCTGTTATTCGGTAAATTTATTAGTTGAGAAATTGATGTCAATAGAATAAAATAGTTTTTTTTTCAAAATCTTCTGATTTAATATAAACATTTTAATAAATAAAGGAAAAGAAATGCTTAAAGATTAAATGATATAAACTAAATAAATTTGAAATGTTTGACTATAATATTCATAGTTTATTATATTGCAATTGGCCTCTAATGCAGGATTTTAATTTTATTTTCTGTTATAATATATAATTTGATAATGTTTGCAAAAATTTTGTTTCAGCGTAACGTTAATTTTAAGAAAACTATTATCGTTGAATTTTAGTCTGATATACGTTATTAGCATTCTTCGGTTTTGCGGTATCGCTATCATGATGATTTCAGTGAGTAAAAATTTTTAACATTAATTAATTTTTGATAATATAAAGACAATATATTGCTGATGGATCTTATTACAAAATATTGACAACTATTAATGTGTGATCATATCATAATTTTATGTGGTTTCTTAAAACTTTAGATACCATCAACGACTTTATTGGAAGGATCTCTAATCGTTATGTACGCATCTGGAGGAATAGTGCAACTCTACATAATATGTTCTTGTGTACAACAGCTATTAGATGCGGTAAATTTAGCTTTAATACATATTTTTCATGTATTTTAATTAATAAATACAAAGCAATATAAATCAAGGATTGTGAAAAATCAACAAAACTATATTATCATGCATATATTAAATATAGAGAGAGAGAAACACACACATTATACATTGTTTTATTATAGATATTACTATCTTCTTTGTTATTTAGAGCATTGAAATAACGGATCAAGCATTTCACGAACAATGGTATCGATTCGGAGCATCTATAAAACGAACATTTATGTTTATGGTAATGGCTAATAATTTAGAACTTAAACTCTCAACATTTGAAAAATACAATTTGTCTTTGTCTTCATTCATGACAGTGAGTAAAATCACATTTTTTATTCTAATTCTTTTATTAGTATTTTAAAATATTTATTGTATATTTTCGAATAATATTCTTCTAGATCTTAAATCAATCATATTCAGTCGCAATTATACTATTCAAAACTAGTTAAAAAGAACTAACTATATAAATTTTAGATACTGCAAGTGTATGATCTCTTATACAAACTATACATGTAAATATTATAATATTTAAGATTAATTTTATCTTTACATTTTACATTTTTCTAAAATAACAATTGTTTCAGAATATTAAAAAATACAATATATTAAAACTAGTAATTAAATGTAAGTAACAATATTAATAGAAATAGAATATATAAATTTCACTGTAGTGAAACAATTGTAAGCAATAAAAATTTTAACTATATTTTACAACATAAAACAAAATTTATTTGACAACGTATTCTTATATTCATATAGATTCAATGTATTCTTATATTCATATAGATATTATTAACAATTATATGTTTTTAATTAATAGATGTTACTTTTAATGTGCGAAAATAAAAATTTAAAAATTTAAAAAAAATTTGAAAATTTGAGAAAAGAAATATAAGTAAAAATACTGTACAATACATAGATACAATACATAGATACGGTACATAGATACAATACATAGATACAATACATAGATTTCACTGTGACAGAGAGTTGAAAAGTATAATAAAGTACAATAAATTCTAATTATTCATAATAACATGGAATATTGAATTTATAACAATATAATAAATTTATGTATATTTCATATTTTGACGTATCTTATTAGCATTTTCAGACTTTTATTTTAAAAGTTTTCTTTTATATTAAAATAACGCATTAACAATTATATATTTTTAATTAATGACAGTTACTCTTATAATATATAAAAAATATAAAATTTTTATCTATTTAATACTTTCAAAAATTTAACAGAAAATCAAATAATGATAAATTATAATTATTTACATTAAGAGATAGACGTACGGTATATGTAGATGGAATATTTTATAGATTAACCTACTAAAACATTTTGTTGTAGCTTATTCCAAATTAAAATACGAAGTTCCTCTAGCGATGTAGCAAACATCTTTTAGACTTTGCAGAGTTCTGACAATGAAAGAGGGTCAACACTGCAGCATAAGATAATCGATACTTTATACGTTGACAGTAATTATAAGCTAGCTTATAGATGCATTAAAACCTGTTTTCTGATAATTAATAACAATAAATTAATTATTGTAACATTTGTTGTTTCACAAACTTGTTGTTTCTCAAATTTTTGCATATCTGTATACATAGTACACGAAGTATTTCTGACTTATCAGTTATTCATGATGTCATAATTATTAACGATTCATCTGTGATGCATTTGATGAATTTAGATGAACATAGAGCAATTCTGTAATTATACGTTAGCGCACAGAGTATATTCCTAATCCTGTAGATTGCTATATGACAATGTACAATGCATGAAAAACAGGAGGACTTCAACGAGCTAATAATTATTGAAGATATCAATAATTTTTACTCATATAAATATGCTTTACATATTCTTTTGGTCAAAGAGAAACGCAAATGTTATCAGAAACCGTAGACCGAAGATAAGTACATATATACATATATACTGTCTGTATTTTACCTAAGAATATAAAGAGAGAGTGTTGAAAGTGTTGAAGACTCTTTCATAGAATATATGTATTAACGACGATTAAAACTAAAAGAATTTTCAAAAATGTATTATTTTTTAAAATTTTAAAAGAAACATCATTAATTGAGTTTGATTAATTGCAAACTTATTGGCTTTAATTATTATTAAAATAATATAAATACTCACAGAATCAATATGAAAATTGTAAAAAGCAGCCACGATTAGTATATAAATCTTATTCAACACATAGTAAAATTGCACAAAAAAATAGAATCAATCAATTAAGAAATGATTATTATGTCTTTCTCTTCCAATTCTTACAGTAAAGTGACATCAAGATTCATGGACTTCCAAACAATGAATTCCTTAAATGTCTGGCTAAATTTGCTATCAGGCAATTTATTACCGATGACTGTCAATTCATCGTTTCCTATATTCTGGAAGATATATAGCGTCTTTGTATGGTTACTCGAATTGGTATATATGGGCACAGCAATCTTCGGCTGCTTTTACGTATCAAAAGAAAAAGCATTGAATGATGGCTTACTCAGTCTAATAGTTACTGTAGAAGGAATCTTCATGGTTACACGAATTCATGCTCAAAGAAGATTGGTACAACAATTGATACGTAAACTTAACGATCTTCTACGCGTTGAAGATAGAACTATGAAGAGAATCGTCATGACAAATCTAAAACCCATGGAAATACCATTCAGACTTTATCTGGTGGGTGGTTCGTTTTCCGTCTTTCTATTTTACTGTATATGTTTCCAGTTAGTCTTCGAGAAGGATACTTTCTTTTATGAGGATTACAAGACACCGGCCATTTATTCCAGAGAGCCATTCTCCACTGATATCTTCTTGATGGGCAGTTTAATAGCATTGATCAGTAACATGTATGTTTTTTTTAAAAAGGTCAGCGTAGACATATATATGACATATTTGCTAGCGTTGATAACGGCACAATATCAATACATTGCTTTGAAACTTGTATCGATATTTCGAGACGGTGGTCATTTGCAATACAATAATGGCGGTGCCCAAGAGAATCAACCTACGATAGATTTTTTCATGGAGAAGGAGATCAGAACCTTATGTCGACATCACAATTCTGTCACGCGGTACATTTCTTAACATTATTAGTAAAATTGTAAATTATTTCGAACAATTTTAGTTCAAAGCATTTTAATCTAGACAAGTAAATTTTATACAAAAATTAAAATATAATAAATCATAATACTGTAACAAATTATAATACTATTAAATAATGTTAAAAAATAATGATTTTTTTTTTAAATATTATAAGTATTATAATTTATTATATTTTGTGTATGATTTTATTTTTATACAATTTTCAACACACACACACACACACACACACACACACACACACACACACATATATATATGTATATAAATATTTAATGAATTAATCGAACGAATGCATTCCGATTCATCTTTTCGTTTGGTACATATAAATATTTAATTCACTATTCGACTGATTGCGTTCCGACTCGCTTTTTTATTCGATATATATAAATATTACACTTAAGTGTGAGACCAAGAAGCAGATTTCGGATATTCACTGTAAGTCAGTCACTCCTCGGGCGATCGGGACGAGATTTAAACGGTAGTGCCGCGAAATGGTGTAGAATTTTATGCAAAAAGAATGAAATCGCTATCGCGTCCGGAAGTCGAGATATAAATTGGCCGTTTTTCGTCTGCGCGCGGACGGTCGAAATCGTGCACGACGCCGCGCATGTTGCCTGCCTCTCTCGCGCGATATTCACTGTAACGCGGCGAGTAAAATGGCAAGCCGAATGCAATCGTTCGATTAATTCGTTAAATATTTCGCAAACCACCATGTCTCGGAAAGCGACCCATCCACCACTTCGCCGCGCTCGTAGTATCGGATTACATTGGGACGACTGTCGTCGCCGCGCGCTTCTATTCACGCAGATTGGCCGATCTTCTTTATTTAATATTTCGTTAATTATTGCGATAATCCTAAAACAATACAGGTTATTCCTTCTTAATTTGAGCCAAAATTGACGGACACCCTGTATATTATAAATATAAATTATATGTTTCAGCATAACATTAATGCTAAAAAAATTGTTATCTCTAAATTTCTCATTGATATACATAAACAACGTTTTTCGATTTTGTTTTGTTGGTATCATGTTGACTAAGGTGAGGTTTTTTGACATTAATTATTTTAGAATACTGTCTCAGTTTTACAATTACAATAATATAATAAATATCATATTATCGAATTATTTTCGCAAATTATCATCAGTTATATTATAGTATAGCAGCAATGTATCTTTGTGAAACTTTAGATATCAACATCTTTTCTGGAAGGATTTATGGTTCTTTTGTACGGATGTGGTGCAATATTGCAATTTTACATATTATGTTCTTATGTCCAGAAATTAATGGAGGCAGTAAGATTTATTGTTATATCTCGCTCTCATCTTGTTTTATTATCGAAATAGAAAATAATTTTTAAATTACCGAAAATTTTATGTTTTTCATTAAATGTGATCTGTATTTTAATAAAAAATATAATTTAAAAAATCAGTTTTTATAGTGAGTCTTAAATCTCACAAATTGTACAAACACAAAATCATGTGAACATAAAAAGAACTATGAATGTATTATAATTATAAATTATATCGTGCATTATTTTTCTGCATAGAGCATGGAAGTAACGGATAAAGCATTTCATGAAAACTGGTATCAATTTAATATATCTATAAAACGTACATTCATGTTGGTGATAATAGCTAGTAATTTAGAGTTAAAACTTTCAACATTTGAAAAATTTAATCTATCTTTGCCCTCGTTTATGGCGGTAAGATATTTGTACTTTTCTATATAATTAACTTATTATTAATATTTTAAGATAATTTTGTATAATTTTTTAGGTTTTAAATCAATCATATTCTATCGCCCTTCTATTATTAAAAATGAATTAAAGAGAAGAAGATAATACTACGTATAGTGTAATAATATAACTATAATTATTATAATATTATATAAATAATATATATGTTGAAGAAACTTTTATTTTTTCTTTCATTAAAATTTTTAATTTTTATTTCAGTAAAAGTATAGTAACTGATAATAATCAATATATTATTTACTACTTACAACTTATAAATTAAAATTAATGATTAAATTATTACACATAATTCTAGTAAGAATATATAAATATCGTTACACGCGTATAAAACATGACAAATAATATTCTGTCTACATTAATGCAGTTTAAAGTTTGAAATCTATTTAAGCAAGTATATTTATGTAATGTAATAGTTTAAACTAGTTAAATATAATAAATCAATCTTATATCAATCTTATAACAGTACTCTCTGTTAACTTATCTGCTATTGTTGTAAATTTAAAATATTTCGAATTGAATATTTCATATGTAACAAACGATTTTCAATTTTCTGTCTGCTTCGCAAAGATGTGAAAATTCATGTATAGAAGTATTGCAATGGAAAAATATAATATAGCAATAGAAAAATAATTTTTGTTTTATATAAAGAAAAATTTATTTAGTTATTTTCAAAATAATGATTTAAAAAAGTGAGAAGAATATTAGAAGTTTTGATAGTTGATATATACTTTTTGTTAATACTTTTTTTAAATATAAGAAATAATATATATTTAATTTATATTTATTTATATTTAGGTTTAAAAAGAATGACCCACTAATATCAAACATATACTTATATTTTAAAAATGATATACAGTAATATTAAATTAAGTATGACAATTATTTTTATTTAAAATTATTTAAAAATTTTCTTTTTTTATTTCTTGTAAGCATATTTTGTAAAAATTTTTACTAAAAGTTTTATTTCAAAAATTAATTTGTAATAATATAAAAGCTCTTGTAATATAAGATACGATTTACAGAAAAGCCTACTTGGAAATATTTTGTAGTAGCATATTAAATTAGATTAATAATTAATAGATAATTTTAGGATCCACAAATTCTAATTTTTTTTTTAAATAACACGAGATTCCACGATTTGTGGATTTCACTGTCTTGGACTTCACTGATCGGCGAAGCACTATAAGATAATCGCCGTTTCACATAGCATTATTAATTAGAGACAAATTTATAGTGGCATGCATTTTTTTCTACGATAAATAGAATGAAATGAATCTGTAATAAATTTTATCATTTATTTTTTATCGATACATTTATAGTCACATTCTTCATTTACCTATAATAATATACGAAACCTTTCTAGGTTCTCATCTACAGAGGAGATTAATTTAGGTGTTCTTTAATTTTTACCTGCGTGCTTTATTGTTATTGAAACAGAATGTCTTCCTCGTATGATCACACACAATGTATTAATAACAACTGAGCAATAGTATTTACAGAAGAATAATAAATGGTTGTAAGCTACTGTCAGCTGCAAGCAAATTTCAAAGAACGACAGAAAAGCGATGCACGTTAGTCTAGATAAGAAGAAGCTAAAGTAATAATGGAATCGAGGCACACGGTGTTTATATGATACTCGCATATTTTATTTTAAATGTATTGTAACGTACGTGATCAATATATAATAGTTAACATAGAGTAAATAAACTGTATTTAGAAAATACAAATATTTAAAGGAAGTGAATTTTTTTATATTCATCGAGAAAAGAGAGTTGTCTCGAAAACATGGATTTTCAAAGCATAAATCCTTTAAACGTTCGCATAAATATTATTTCGGGTAATTTGTTGCCCTTGTCAAAAAATGATTCGCGCTTTCCGGTAATGTGGAAAATGTACAGCATCTTTGTATGGCTGCTTGAAATAATCCAAGCAATTGTATTAATTCCCGGGATTATTTTTGTGCCGCGAGAAAAGGCCTTGAAAGACGGTACAGTTACTTGCGTGGTAACCATAGAGGTGTTCTTCATGGTCATGAGGATTCAAGCACACAGAAAGCTGATGAATCAATTGATCCGAAGATTAAACGACATTTTATGTGTTGCGGATGAGACCATGAAAAATATTGTAACAACCACTCTAAAGCCTATGGGAGATCCACTCAAATTTTATCTGCTAGTTGGCTGGTTGTCTGTTTTCATATGGTGCTGTTTACCATTTCTATTAATCTCCGAGAAAGTTGCCTTTCTTTACGAGGATTACAGGACACCAGCAATCTTCTCCAAGCAACCTTTTTCGATCGATGTCTTCCTAGTAGGAAGCGTACTTTTGTTATTGAGTAACGTGTATATTTTTTTAAAGAAAGTCGGGGTGGATATTTATATGATACATTTAGTGCTGCTGATAACGGCGCAGTATCGATATATCTCTACAAAACTCGCGATAATATTTCGAGATGGAAATCCGCAAAGTGAATTCGACGACTCATGCCAGGAATATCAGCTTAAGGATCAGTGGGTAAGAAAAGAAATGGAAGCACTATGTCGACATCATAGCTCTGTTATTCAGTAAGTAACGAATCCGTTTTTATTCAGTAAAATTGTACTAAATTATGTTGATGACAAAATTATTTAAGAAAGCCGATGGATAGTGCGCTTATTCTTTAGCATAAAAAATTCCTATTTTCATTCATTTCCTTTTGCAGCACATGCGCTAATTTTTTAATATATTATTTTTTCACAATTGTAAATTATGATTTTATAAGATAATTTTATAATACGATACGCAATTTAAACCGCAAAAAGAAATAACAATTTAAAAAAATAATTAAATATTAATTTACTAAAAATCAAAAAGAAAATGGCATAAGAGCCAACGTGCGGTAGTTGGAGCGCAGAGAAGCAACAACACTTCTTTCTTTTTTCAATATTAATTTATTAAAAACACATTATAATAACAAAAAGCGAACGTTTCGGATCATCTTTTAATCTTTTGGGTGCTTACTAGACGCGGAATGCAACCCAGCGTCACCCACGCGTCGAGAACAAACTCGTTCAATGCAACGCGTCACTATCCGCAATATAAACCCAACGGTGTGTATCATTAGCGCTACAGAAGGAAATGAATGAAAATAGGAATTTTTTATGTTAAAGAATAAGCTCACTATCCATCGGCTTTCTTAAATAATTTTGTCATCAACACAATTTAGTCTAGGCACTCAAAAGATCAAAAGATGATCCAAAACGTTTCGCTTTTTGTTATTATAATGTGTTTTTAATAAATTAATATTGAAAAAAAAGAAGTGTTGTTGCTTCTCTGCGCTCCAACTACCACGCGTTGGCTCTTATGCCATTTTCTTTTTGATTTTTTGATTATTTGAGCCAAGTCTCTCATTATTAAATTAATTTACTATTTTTTACGTTTTAAGTTATACAAAATTATATTTTATACATATGAAAATTTTGTTTTTTAGCTTATCTTCTATGCTTAAAAAATTACTATCTTTAAACTTTAGTATGATTTATGTGAACAGTGTCTTACGATTTTGTTTCATTGGTATTATGTTGAGTACAGTGAGTAACAACTCCTATTAATAATATAGCATTTAATATATACATTTAAATAAATTATAGGTAGATTATATATATATATATATATATATATATATATATATATACGCATATATAAATGCGATAAATATACATTTTTTACATATATATATATATATATATATATATATATATATATACATTACACATATACACATATACATTTTTTACATATATATATATATATATATATATACGCATATATAAATGATAAATATACATTTTTTAATTATTCAATGTTATAATATTAATATATTTTAATATAATATTTTTAATATAAATTATGCTATATAAGAGCGGTGTACGTTGTAACACATATGTATCATTAGATATCATCAACAAATTTCTTGGAAGGTTCTTCGATCGTTATGTTTGCAAGTGGTTCAATAGTTCAATTCTACATGTTGTGTTTTTGCGTCCAGCAATTAATGGATGCGGTAAGTTTGATCATAATATAATGCATGATTTTTTTAAATTCAAATTCTCACTATTAATACCATTTTGTTTTGATATAAAAAATTTACTCTAGATTTTCTAACTTTGAAAAATAGTTTGAAATATACTTTGAAATAGTTTGAAAAATTATTATTGTTAAATAATCAAAACAATATGTTTAATTTGATTATAAGTTTTTATAAATATATATATTGCGCAAAGCAGTATAGAATGAAATGATAATTAATTATATTACTTTTGATTATTAAATTATCTTAAATTATTTTTTATGTTTAATTTAGAGCAGAAAAGTGACGGATGAAGCATTTCACGAAAAATGGTATCAGTTTGGACCATCTGTAAAACGTACATTCATGTTGATAATATTAGGCAATAATTTAGGATGTAAACTTTCAATGTGCGATAAGTTTAATCTATCTTTACCCTCATTTATGACGGTAAGACGTTTTTTTATAGCTTTGAATATTACGATATTATTCGAGTCTTATATCATTCTTTACAGTTTTGAAATTTTATAATGAACTTTTAGATTTTAAATCAATCTTATTCGATTGCTCTTCTGTTCTTAAGGGTGAAGTGAGCAATAACGAAGGACATATTTTGTAGACTTTTTAAATACAGTATTTTTTAATCAAATTTTTATTTTTTAATAGAAATAATAATTGACAAATTTGAATATCAATTTTAACACAAGTAATTAAGAAGCAAATTTTATTATAATATAATTTATGAATTAAAATGACATAAGAAGAAAGATTAATGGAAAATATCATTAATGCTAAATATATTTATGCATAATTCTTTTCTTTTTTTTCTTTTTCTCCTTGCCTCTTTTCAGTCTCTTAATAATTTTTACATCCAGAATAATTTGAAAATTATATTTTCTTCTAAAAAAACAACTGCGCGATAATAGTACAGAAATCGAACATAAATTAACATGTTTAGTACAATATTAAAAATAACTATTTATCTCAATTTATATTAACGACTCGATCATTAAATGTAACTAGTTAAACTTTCTCTTTCTGTAAAAGAAAGTAAAATTATAGTTCAGAAAGAAAAGTCGTTTAATTAATTGAGAGAAAGAATAATCAATTTTTTCCAAACATTTAATTAAAATAATATACTTTCATTTGTTTGGTATAAGTTAAATGAACATTTACGTCAGTTCTAAGTACAACGGCATAAAGGAGTAAACATAAAAAATATCGAATATTCTCCGTACAGGAATTTAATCTGAACTTATATAACACATTCGATAGAATATTTTCGAAGAAGTAGTATCAAAATCATGGATTTCCAAAATGTCAATCTTCTAAATGTGCGAATGAACATAATCTCGGGAAATTTGTTTCCAATGACAACCGATTCACGATTTTCAATTGGCTGTAAAATATACAGTATTATTGTATGGCTAATCACTATAAGCGTAATTACTTTGTTCTTTTTGGGATTTACCATGGTGTCGAAGGAAAAAGTTATAGCTGATGGCATGATTTCTATTGTGTTCATTATAGAAGTATTTTTTATGTTTATACGAATTCATACATGTAAAGATCTTGCTATGCAATTGATCCAGAAGATAAACGACATTCTCCGCGCCCAGGACGAGACTATGAAGTGTATCATGATGACAACCTTAAAGATAGCACACTCTTCGTCTAAATTCTACTGGATAAACATGATGATAAATATAACAATGTGGATAAGCCTGCCGCTCATAGTGATCAAAAAGGATTCCTTCTATTACGAGGATTACAGATTGCCATTCATCATCTCCAAAGAACCATTTTCCTTTAAAATCTTTGTACTAGGAACTCTGTTTCTGGTGATCACTAGCTTGTATATTATTATGAAGAAAGCGGCCGCACATTTTTATATGATGCATTTGGTACTATTGATAACAGTGCAATACCGATATATCGCGGTGAAATTACAGAAAGTATTTCAGAAAGAAAATTCACAAAAAAACAAAATAAATTCCCGAACAAAATTTTGTTCTGAGAAGATAGATTTATGGACAGAGAGAGAAATGAAGTCGATATGCCGGCATTATAATATTGTAATTAAGTAAGTCTCCGCAAATATCATATATTTATATAATTTATTAAAAATTTTATTGAAAAAGTTGTGAATAAAATATAAAAAACTTAATTAAATCGCTATATCTATTATTTTCTTTTGCAAGCAAAATTTTGTCTCAAATTATACTTTTAATACTTTATATGTATATATATATATATATATATATATATATATATATACACAATATATCATATCTTTCTCTATTTTTTTACAGATTGTCAATAATATTGAAAAAATTTTTGTCTTTAAATTTTAGTATAATTTATATGGGTACCGTTTTGCGATTTTCTTTTTTAGGTGTCATACTAGTTACTCTAGTAAGTACTATATTTGTTAATATTATATAATTAATCTTAGAAATATTTTATTCATATAAATATAATTCCTATAATTATTAGCATTTAATGTATTAAATTTTTATGTAAATAAATACAATTTTGTTAATCTAATCTATATATTAGCTGCGTGTTGATCGTAATTTGATTTTATCTACGAGAAATTATAAGGGCGCAAGTGAATTATATAGAATCATTTTGTGATAAGAACTTATTAAAAAGATTAGTTTCATATTTATTGAATCAAAGATAAAGACATATACCAAGATAAACACACAAAATAAAATTTATAAAATTTTACATATAATTTTTCAACTTTAATTTGCTTATATTAAAAACGAATGATGGCATTTTGAAATGAAAAATTAAGCAAACGTAATTTTTTTAAACTTATGTTAATGATATTAAGTAACATAATAATGAAACTTTTTCAAATTACTGTTTATATAATATCTTTTTTTGTCCCTATTTATAGAATATATTGGCAAAGTTTGATTGTTTAACTTTGGCATACTTTACTATAAAAATAATATAAAAGTAATATATTCTTTTTTTTTCATTCATAAATCTAGGCACAATTAAAGACTTTATTCGAGCGAATTACGATAATCATGTTTGCGTTCGGTGAAATGTTGCAATTTTACATTCTATGTTCTGCAATACAACAATTATTGGACGCAGTAAGTATTTTGTTGTAATGTGCTATTTGTAATGTACTATTTTTTCTAGAATTCTAGATATTCATTTTCTTAATACCAATTAGTATATGTTAAAGATTTACAAATTATTACTAAATCGCGTGTCATATTTCCAGTGGGCTTATTTAATAATAACAATTACAATAAATTGTAATAACTATTGAGATCGAAATTTTATTTATAAAAATTACATTTACATATATTTTAAAATATAAAATGTTTATAAAATGCAAACCTTCTTCGAAAATTGAAAAAATATTGTTCTCTCTCTCTCTCTCTCTCTCTCTCTCTCTCTCTCTCTCTCTCTCTCTCTCTCTCTCTCTCTCTCTCAATAATTATATTTGCTATGTATTATCTTTTATATCGAATTTAGAGCACGGAAATAACAGATATGGCATTTCACGAAAAATGGTATCAATATGGATCATCGATAAAACGTACATTTTTATTAATGATACTAAGTAACAATCTAAAGTGTAAAGTTGCAACAATGGAGAAGTTTAGTCTCTCGTTACCATCATTTATGACGGTAAGATTTATATGTATAATGTTACTTGTTACACTTGTGTAATATATCCTATTAATATTAAAAATTTTCTAAAATTTTATTAAATTTTTAATATTTTAGAGTATAAATCAGGCATACTCAATTACTCTTTTATGTTTAAAAATAATGAAGAAATAATAAAAAGATATATTGCAAATACATTAAAGATAGCATAGATAGATAGCGTTATCTCTTTACAAAATAAAAATAATCAATAAATTTAAATTATAATTCTAAATATCGCAAAGGTTAAAAGATTTAGTTTAATAAAAAAGAAATAGTAGCAGTTTAGCTGAAGTTAGTGATAAAAAAATTAAAATTTTTAATAATAATAACGCGAGGTGGCTCAAATTTATCACATTGTCTGAAAAAACACATTTCTTTTGCTATTAAATAAATGATAAAAGCTTAAAATGTATAAAATGTTGTATTGCACGGTATAAATTGTTTTATATAAGATATTTATAATATGTTATACTCAAATTAAGTATCGATATTGAAATAGCATGTAGTTTAACCGATTTTACGACAATTGAAATATCTAGAAATAGTTAAATCTATTTAACCATTGCTGGTTGAATTAATGGTTGATCTTGATGTTGGAATCTGTGCACAAACACATACGATAATGAATCTTAAGTAAAAGACAATTTGTTTTATAAAAAAACTTTATGTTACATAAAAATATAAATCGATTTGAAATGTATTTTATCATGTTTGTGTGTAATTAAATGATAAAAGAATAAATATATTATTTTAATTTATAAAACCTAAAGTGCGTGAAAATGATGATGAATTTTATTTTGTAAAAAAGATATCTTATTCACAGTAGACTTACAGTACCACACATGTATTTTTATATTTATATTTATATTTGCACCTTGATAAACTTGTGTCTTTTATGCCTCTTAAATATTTCTCGTACCATTTATAAACGCCGCTCTTGTGTACATAACATAATCAAGAACTTACATATCTACAGTTATTTTTTAAGTTCTTGAAATATTATATATAATGTTTCAAAAAATAAAAGTATTTTATTTGAAAACATATTAAAAAATAAAAATGATAAATGTATTATTCAATGTGCTTTTAAATAAAAATTAACGGAAAAAAGATTTTCTTCAATTCTCGGTGATATAAAACTCTGGATATAAATTATGTTTAAAATTTACATTTTTTGTTATAAATAATGATATTTTTTTCTAAATAGATGTAGACATTATTTTTTTAATCTAATTTTTGTTATAATTTTTTAAATATGATTTTAATTTAATAGTAGATATCTATTATTATGTCTTTCTCCATACATATGAACAATATATTGCATCGCGTTTCCTCTCTTCGAACTTTACTTGACTGGATTACTTTGAATATTTTGACATTGGAAAGTTTTTGCAATATTAAATTATTGGATACATTTTTAAATCTGTAAATAATGTAAATCTTTTACTTATTAAAATAAAAAATTAAATTAAGTTGCTATAATAATATTCATAATCTCTGTAAAGATTATTATTAGGATATTCATATATCATGAATATTACAATTATTATAGTTTGTTTATCTGTCCTGTATAAGCAGCTAGCAAATTTATATCACAAATAAACCAGAGAACTGCCTTCTTGATCTGGATGATTTCTTACATCGTCCTGCCTTTCGCCGCGAATACTTCTGCCGTTTCTGATCGCCCTGACATCCGGTTGCAAAGAACTCTATACTGGTCCCATGACCATCGTTCTCGCCGTTTTTAAAAATGTTTCGCACAGTTGCGCTGTACATGCAGTCATTTCGAAGTTGTCGTAGATCATAATACGACGTCTGAAATTATTTGTAATGATAAATTAAAACTTGAAATTTTCTATTTTTTTTTCGATTAATTTATATTATCTTGTTTACATATCAGTGATACATTTATTCGAAATCAATCTTAATACTTTAT